TAGGTGTATATACCATTCCCGTCATCATGACTTACACAGTATAATAAGTGTGTATACCATTCCCTCATCATGACGTACACAGTACAATAAGTGTGTATACCATTCCCGTCATCATGACGTACACAGCACGGTTGCAAGTCAGTTCAAGCACGGTTTATGCCTTTCCCTCCCTGGCGTATATAGATCAAGCAGCATTTATACCTACTTCTATCTCGACATGCACAGTCGCGTGAAGTACACATTTCAAGCACCGTTTACGCCTTTCTCTTCCCGGCTATCCTGGCGTATACAGTTTACGTAGGGTCTATATGTCTACAGTACGGCTATCACGATGCAACACTGTACAAGATGGGTCAATGTCGGCTGTGCTTCGATGAGGGGCGGTGGGGTAGCCTAGTGGTTAAAGCGTTCGCTCGTCACGCCGAAGACCCGGGTTCGATTCCCCACGTGGGTACAATGTGTGAAGCCCGTTTCTGGTGTCCTCCGCAGTGATATTGCTGGAATATTGCTAAAAGCAGCGTAAAACTCAACTCACTCACTCACTGGGCTCCGATCACCGCGGCGTACACATTTCAGACACCGTTTATACCCTTCTCTTCCTAAGGATCTTGTAGTATACATTATAAGCAGGGTCTATACCTCCTCATCCCTTATTATTGCAATGTACACAATTCTGTGCCTGTGGCGAACCGAATAGACTGATACACTAAAACCTCAGCTACGTCTACCTCTGAAGCTCCGCCAACTCAAACCATTGCCATGGATGCAGCTTCGGATTCTACATGCGACTAATGTATCATCCTCGTAGATGAAAGTATCTTCTACGCAGATATCATAGACTTAGATGATAAAAACAGTTTAGACTTTAGCACTTATAATCTTCCATATTGTTAATACCGACGATTTGAAACCGAAACCTTCCCCCAGCCCACGATCGACATTTGTAGCGGCAATAAAATCCTCCTCTACGTCTATGGGAGATAGAAAGGCATCGTTGGCGACATCCGCGCCCCTGCGACACTCGTAAGGATTCTAGTTCTGAATAGGAGATGGAAGAAGATCGAAATCGCCCTCTTCATCAAAGATGTTCATGACAATCGAAATGACAGAACCTATAGTCGCAGGTGATGGACGCCATCATGTGGGCCCATCTTGCCTGGACTATGTTCACTCCAGAGACAAGGATTGTTCTCACAGATCATCTGTTACCACCCCTAGGGGGAGGAAAATAGAGCCGACTATTATAAACAGCTTGTTTGACGTTGTACTTCATCACAAATATTGTTTCAGATGGAATAGATTCCGTGGAGTGGTATACTTTTGTCGGGGTCTTATGGCGGAACTAAATCTCAGCTGTATTGTCACACGGCAGCACCAGAACCTCAGTAAAGTATTTTCGCAGGTGAAGCAAGCATACTCATGACTGAGGACAAAATGTTGAAAACATGACGAATATATGCTACCAGCTGAATTTAACATCACTGACATCAGCACAGACGTTACGATGAACTCGGCTGAATGAAATATGGCCATAGCTGAAGTGCGTTTACAGCTAAAATATGCTTGGCCAGTTCATACTGAAACGAGATTATTGTTTCAAATATGTCTTCAAGAGCAGGAAGGTCCTGAAAGGAAGAGGTGAGGTGAGGTGAAATTGGGTTTAACGTCGTGCTTGAGAATATTTCGCTCATATGACGACGTGCATGCGAGTGTATGTGTATGTGCGGCTGCTTGTACTAGCCCAGACTGAAGCTGGTTTTATAGTGCTAGCCCACTGAGATACCACTCCGCAGTCCTGAAATGAAGAATGAGTAACTGTTTTTAAATTATACTGTGCTATGGTGTATGCACTTCATGTCTTTGGGCCTATGGCACGATGTAATCTTGTGAAGTGTATAGTTGTTGTCTGTACCCCACCTCTTGACGACATGGCGGCGTTTTCGTGGTGACAGAATGCTTTCATGAACTCAATGTCGGCCATCAATATCTCGCTGTCATTCTTTTCTACCTTATAGACCGTGTCTTTCTGTTGAGTTTGGCATTTAGAAGCTGGTAGGATGAACAGGAAGAAGTTGTTATTTTTATGAACAGACAGCTTCTTCCTTGCAATGGATGTAGATGCTAACATCGTTAACACCATTGCAATAAGGAAGCTGTTTATCCATAAGAAATCGTACTGTACTCATATCCTGCAAGCATAACGGCCGCCACGAGGATGAGGTATGAAATATACTGCCATTATAAAAATGCCGTAGGTGATGATGATGAAATGACCATGATGATGATGATGATGATGATTTGGAGATGCCCTTTCCGACATAATGCTTATTTCGCATACGGGCTCGCCAGGCCATTTAGTGTTTGTTCGAAAAGGGGTGATTTAACCGGAAGATGTGGCAACCTGAAGGGGACGTAAGGGTTGCAAAATTAATTTTGTATGAATTTTGAATTTTGAACTTTACCAGAAGTTGTTGGGGGCATGAACTGCGGGATAGTTTGGTTGAATCAAGTTTTGTTTGTTTTTATATTTTGTTTTGTTATGTTAGCATTAGTTTGTTGTATGTGATTATGCTGTAGGCAACATAATTCCTGTTATAATATAATTCCAAATATCCTGCTCCAAGTTGACCTCAAGCGTGCATACAATGTGTTGAGCTAGTTAGATGGGTTTTTTCATGAGTGACATTCAGAAGTAGGTATGGTGAACAAGAGCATCTACACCGAAACGTCGCACCCACTGCAATACAGAAGTTGTCTATCCGTAACAAATTGTTTACTTATAAAGGTAGCATGCTCCAGGGAGACGCTACGGTTCAGTGATTACAGATATTAGGTGATCTAGGCTCTGGGCTTATTTTACGTGATGTACAAGAGAGTTAGGCAGGAATACTACGTGATCCTGGTATACTCCGTTTAACCAGGGATCTCTACACGTACTGACATAACTGAAGTCAATTCAAATTTGATTCCTCAGCACACATGTTAGCCAGCAAAGTAAACAATTTAAATCATAAATATTCATGTAAGCTGAATTTCTTATTTATGTACACGTTTACGCCATGACACGGTCCATAAACCATGCATTTACTCAGGCAGTGATGTGCATCACGAGACGCCGCCTTGGAGCATACAGGGTTTTTTGTTTGTTTTTTTGCCGTATAACGCTACACTCAGCAATATTTCAGCTATATGTAGAAATAATCGAATCTGGAACAGGCAGTCCACTGATCAACAGCATAAGCATCGACCTATGTAATTGGTATACGATGACATGTGCCCAGCAAGTCAGTGAGCCTGACCACCAGATCCCGTAATGCCAGTTTGCTGAAGACCAGTACTAACCCGAGGGAGATGAATATATGTATATATACACCAGTGCGTTTGCAGCATTATTGCCTTCACAGGTGTGATCACATCTCTCCTGTTCCTAAATCCTTACATTGGCTACCTAATCAACAGAGAATCAACTTCAAACTTCTCTGCATCAATTTCAGTTGTCTTCAAACTCAAGCTCCAGAATATCTCACTGAACTCATCAGAGAATACATTCAATCAAGATCACTCCGGTCCCAGAATCTACACCTACTACAAGTTTCCAAATTCCACCTAGTTTCTAATGGGAAAAGGGCTTTCTCCTTTACCTCTAGAAATCAAATTCTAAGAATCTCTCTCAATCTTCAAGTCAAAAGTTAAAACCCGCCCTGTTTCACAGTGCCTATGACTGAGTCTTTTCTCTCTATTCTTTTCAGCGCATTGAGCATTCATAAATGTGTGGACATCTGTGCTTTATAAGTGACATAATTATTTATTATTAGGTACCCACAAAAAATCCATTTAAGTTTCATATATAAGCTGAAAACAGTCAGAGATACAGGTGCTAGTCGAAATCCGTGCCGTGGTAATTCCAGGGATCCGTGGTCACACACTTTAACTGATGCACACCAGTGTCCGCCAAATAAAGTTAATGTAGAATATGTAGGTGTTTTACCTCCATACATTTATTAATTATATGAATGAATGATAACTGTCCCCTTTTTACTGTCATAAAACATGGTCAAAGCTCCTCCTGTCGAGATCTTTGCTTCTAATGTCAAACCGTTAGTGTTGTGATATTTATGTAGAACACAAATCCGAATTCAAATTTAATTTGGCGTGTTCGAGTTCAATATTAAGGGAGGACACACTTGCATTGAATAATTATGCAATTGGGACACACACACACACACACACACACACACACACACACACACACACACACACACACACACACATCTGCACCCGAGTCAGCTCAAGTCGGCTTCGTGCGCCACTAACGCACATATGGAAGTAAGGTTAGTACGTAGGTGTATGTATTTATTGACTGCACAGTAGAAAAGTGCTGCATGTGCACTTATGCAAATAAGATACGGATGCAATAATTTGCTTTAAAATACTTTGGTTTAAAATGTACTAATGATACCCCACAAACGATGTATAATCTACTTAATTGAAGTTAATTCAAATAGTGCTGATATTATCAAATCTGTTGCCATTTTCGTAAAAACATTGATGTCCGTTCTTAAATCACGTATAAAACCATTATCTCATGTCACGAGACCAATAGTTGTCATTAAGCAACTTGAATTGTACTTTTGGCCACTGGGCCTCAACTACTGAATAAAACCTGTCTGTCTTGTAACAAAGTAAGTATTTGTACACTGCCTGACGCCGTTCAGTATAGCATCTGCCATACACCGGGGCCTGTCTTTAGTTACAGTGTGGACGCATGCAGAGGCACGACAGCGTTCACTCAAGTAAGAAAGAGTCTCCACAGGTTATGCAAGGAATTCGTTCGCTTTTTAACAAACCTAATTTATGAGCCGTTACCGGTTATGCGAAGTTATTCTTTCGTTTATCAAAAACCTATTTTTTCTAAACAGTCTTCTTTGTTCACCCAACAGAAATTTAAGCACGACAATATATCACAGGTTCAACAGCATTGCAATGTCGTTGAGCTCTAGTGCTTAACCAGGGCGGCGTTACCCCTTAAACTGTCGTGTCTACCCATCCAGCTCAACCAGGGTTGCAGGTCCCAACCAGGTTTGTGCTTTTTATTATTTGAAGTGCAAAAACAAGCCGAATTAAGGTAAGTTCGACTTAAAAGCTTTGTAATCACTACTCCAACTTTATAATTAACAACTGAAACCTAATGATAATAGGGTCACTTACATAGCGCCGAACTCCACGCTGTACGGGCATGACCTAAGGGCATGCAACATCATTGACACTATCAACCCGGGTAACCCAAGCTGCATGTCGGGCGAAGACGTACATTTTCCATCAACAGGCGTCAGTACGATAATGTTGTGTAGCTCTATGATTTCACCATTGAAATAGCCATATAAACAACCAGTTATAGTCGATTTTTATGTAACAGTGTGGGTTCTATCTTTAAATAGAAAAACAAAGTTACAATTTTGTATTTTACAGTTGTCTAACGTAGGCCAAATGTAACAAATCGTGCTGTCGCCAGAGCACCGTTTGGTAGGTATGGCCTGTCTAAAATAACAGAATAACAAATAACATGTCTACCCTTACCACTTAAATACTAGTTCATATGCATTTGGATGACAGCGTATTTTGAGCAATATCAGCAAATAAGAAAATGGAATATTTTGTGACACTAAAGGTAAACACGTTTCCTTTCCTACTATGTATTTAGATACCCAAGCCTTAAAATGAATACTTTTTAAGTTGCAAGAAAAATGTAATTATATGTATAAAAATTCACTCCAAACCCTAGAGGTAACGTATCTGTCTCGTGACAAAATCCTTTTGTCTGTTTTTGAGTGCATCAAAAATATCTCGGACTGTTGAAGGGAAGCCGTTTTAGCATCATGTCTAGGCGCTAGCCAATGTTAATGTAAAACAAAGTATGAAAGGAAAAATAAAGTTCATTTTTGAAAGTTAACAAAAGTGGATTGGCGCCTGTTAGTGGAGAATGAATGTAGAAGGTTAATGGTTTTATGACTTATTTCACCGGGTATCCATGTTCTGTCATTTTCTGCTGGGTGAAAAGATTCGACGTTGAACACTTGCCTAAGCTGAGACAACATGTGTCAGGGTGCATCGTTGTGGGGCAGTCCTAGAAACTCCAGAGTCAAGCTGGCAAACACAGTCGTCCATCCAATGACTCTCCGTTACCTGCTTTGCTTAACTTCAACTGATTTGTACCTGGCCTCTATGCACGAGACCACGCACTGCAACCAGCCTGACAATCTCATAATGGACTCCGATGTTGTTAAAGACGAAATGAATACCAGTGAAAATCAGAAATAGGAGATACAAAGTATACCGCAGCGGTTTGGCATTGAACCACTTACTTTCTGCTCTCCGGACCGAAGCTGTATCTAATAGACCAAGGAGGCGGTCGACTTCCGTATAACATAGCGCCTGATACTCATAAAAGAAGATATTGGGATAACGCAACAAGTGTTGACACCGATATATCATAGCAGCATCTGGCTCTTCGATATCGGTAAACATGGGGTGTAATTCATGACACCAGTGAGTGACGAAAGGGAGAGTTGTGAACGACATTGGTATAATACAGCCAGGTCTATTTATAATATCAGTATATCAAGTTAGGTTTGTTCGAAACATAAGTATGTCAAGTGAGATCTCTTCACGACATCAGTATAACACAATGGTGTCTTTTCATGACATCAGTATATCAAGTGAGGTTTCTTTATGACATCAGGTTAGGTTTGTTCATAACATCAGTACAACACAGTGAAGTCTGTTTATGACATCAGCACAACACAATGAGGTCTGTTCATAACATCAGTACAACACAATGAGGTCTGTTAATAACATCAGTACAACACAATGGTGTCCGTTCATCACGTCAGTAAAACACAGTGAGCTTTGTTGATGACTTCAGTACAACACAGTGAGGTCTGTTGATGACATTAGTATACTGACTTACTGACTGAGTTTGGTTTTACGTCGCTTTTAGCAATATTCCAGCAACATCACGGCGGGGGACACCAGAAATGGGCTTCACACATTGGACATCAGTATAACACAGTAAGCTTTGTTTTATGACATCAATACAACACAGTGAAGTTTCTTAATGACATCAGTGCAACACAATGGTGTCCGTTCCTGACGTCAGTAAAGCACAGTGAGGCCTGTTCATGACATCAGTAAAATACAATGAGATCTCTTCATGACATCATTACAACACAGTGAAGCCTGTTCATGACATCAGTACAACACAGTGAGGTTTGTTCATGACGTCATTACGACACAGTGAGGTTTGATAATGACATCATTACAACACAGTGAGGTCTGTTCATGACATCAGTATAACACAATGAGGCCTGTTAATGACATCATTACAATACAATGAGATCTCTTCATGACATCATTACAACACAGTGAAGCCTGTTCATGACATCAGTACAACACAGTGAGGTTTCTTCATGACGTCATTACGACACAGTGAGGTTTGATAGGTCTGATAGCATCATTACAACACAGTGAGGTCTGTTCATGACATCAGTATAACACAATGAGGCCTGTTAATGACATCATTACAACACGATGAGGTTTGTTCATGACGTCATTATAACACAGTGAGGCCTGTTAATGACATCATTACAACACGATGAGGTTTGTTCATGACGTCATTATAACACAGTGTTAAGACATCATTACAACCTGTTCATGACATCAGTACAATGACACAGTACAACACAGTGATGTTTGTTCATGACATCAGTACAACACAATTAGGTCAGTTCATGACATCAGTACAACACAGTGAGGCCTGTTCATGACATCATTACAACACAGTGAGGTTTGTTCATGCCATCGGTAGAACACAATGGTGTCCGTTCATATCATCAGTACAACACAATGGTGTCCGTTCATGACATCAGTACAACACAATTGTGTCCGTTCACGACATCAGTATAACACAGTAAGGCCTGTTAATGACACCATTACAACAGAGTGAGGATTGTTCATGACATCAGTACAACACACTGGTGTCCGTTCATGACATCAGTACAACACAGTGAGGTTCGTTCATGACATCATTACAACACAATGGTGTCCGTTCATGACATCAGTACAACACAGTGAGGTTTGTTCATGACATCAGTAAAACACAATGGTGTCCGTTCATGACGTCAGTACAACACAATGGTGTCCGTTCATGACATCAGTAGAACACAATTGTGTCCGTTCATGACATCAGTATAACACAGTGAGGCCTGTTAATCACATCATTACAACACAATGGTGTCCGTTCTTCACGTCAGTAAAACACAGTGAGCTTTGTTCATGACTTCAGTACAACACAGTGAGGTCTGTTGATGACATCAGTACAACATAGTGGTGTCCGTTCAAGACATCAGTATAAAACAGTGAGGCCTGTTCATGACATCAGTACAACACAATGAGGTTTGTTCATGACATCAGTACAGCACAGTGGTGTCCGTTCATGACATCAGTATAACACAGTGAGGCCTGTTAATGACATCAGTACAACACAGTGATGTTTGTTCATGACATCAGTACAACACAGTGGGGCCTGTTAATGACATCCTGACAACACAGTGATGTTTGTTCATGACATCAGTACAACGCAGTGAGACCTGTTCATGCCATCAGTAAAACACAGTGAGGCCTGTTCATGACATCAGTACAACACACTGGTGTCCGTTCATGACATCAGTACAACACAGTGAGGTTCGTTCATGACATCATTACAACACAATGGTGTCCGTTCATGACATCAGTACAACACAGTGGTGTCCGTTCATGCCATCAGTACAACACAGTGAGGCGTGTTCATGCCATCAGTACAACACAGTGAGGATTGTTCATGACATCAGTAGAACACACTGGTGTCCGTTCATGACATCAGTACAACACAATGGTGTCCGTTCATGACATCAGTACAACACAGAGAGGTTTCATCATGACATCAGTACAACACCATGGTGTCCGTTCATGACATCAGTACAACACAGTGAGGTTTCTTCATGACTTCAGTACAACACAGTGAGGTTTGTTCATGACATCAGTACAACACAGTGAGGTTTGTTCATGACATCAGTACAACACAGTGGTGTCTGTTCATGACATCAGTACAACACAGTGGTGTCCGTTCATGGCATCAGTACAACACAGTGATGTTTGTTCATGACATCAGTACAACACAATAGTGTCCGTTCATGACATCAGTACAACATAGTGGTGTCCGTTCATGCCATCAGTACAACACAGTGAGGCGTGTTCATGCCATCAGTACAACACAGTGAGGATTGTTCATGACATCAGTACAACACACTGGTGTCCGTTCATGACATCAGTACAACACAGTGAGGTTCGTTCATGACATCATTACAACACAATGGTGTCCGTTCATGACATCAGTACAACACAGTGGTGTCCGTTCATGACATCAGTACAACACAGTGGTGTCCGTTCATGACATCAGTACAACACAATGGCGTCCGTTCATGACATCATTACAACACGCAGTGAGACCTGTTCATGCCATCAGTACACCACAGTGAGGTCTGTTCATGACGTCAGTATAACAGTGTTGACATTAGTACAACACAGTGACGTTCAGTATACAACACAGTGAGGTTTGTTCATGACATTAGTACAACACACAGTGAGGTCTGTTCATGACATCAGTACAACACAAGTTCATGACACACAGTGATGTCCGTTCTGTTACAACACAGTGATGACATTAGTACAACACAATGTGTCCGTTCATGACATCAGCATAACACGTTCATGATGACATCAGTACAACACAATGGTGTCCGTTCATGACACATCAGTAGAACACAAGTGAGGTTTGTTCATGACATCAGTACAACACAGGTTTGTTCATGGACATGTCAATGATGTCTGTTCATGACATCAGTACAACACAGTGGTGTCCGTTCATGACATCATCAATGAGGTCCGTTCATGACATCAGTACAATAAAGTGGTGTCCGTTCATGACATCAGTACAACGCATGGTGTCCGTTCATGACATCAATATAGCAAAGTGAGGTTTGTTCATGACATCAGTACAAAAGAATGGTGTCCATTCATGACATCAGTACAACACAGTGGTGTCCGTTGATGACATCAGTAGAACACAATGGTGTCCGTTCATGACATCAGTACAACACAATGGTGTCCGTTCATGACATCAGTACATCACAGTGAGGCCTGTTCATGATATTAGTAGAACACAAAGAGGTCTTTTCTTGACATCAGTATAACACAGTAAGGTCTGTTGATGATGTCAGGTATTTTTGCTCCCGGTGTATCAACCAAAGCAGATCAAATTTGCTCTGTAACATTCGCATTATTACGATGTGGTTATCTAATTTGTTCTCCTAAAGTATGCAAACCATCACGACAACTATATTTATTTATAACACATTAGTGTTTTGTCACAGATCATCACTGAGATGATGTGAGTGATTTTGCAGATCAAGAGACGACGATGGCTTGCTGCGTTGACTGCGCTAAACGCTATATGGTGGTGTCAGTCGGATCTATTGGACTTCTTGTTTCCATTGGTTTCCGAACATGTTTCTCTCTCGTCATGGTTCATGTGACCAATCACACATCCACAGAACGTGACGACAATTCCCTGTTTCACAATGTGAGTATTCGAGTGGGCTGCCACATGTAGTCTTTCATCTAGAGCTATAAATTCCCCTTACCTTTGACGAGTGTATGATAACGGGGCTGTGCGAGTGAGTGAGTGGGTTGGGTGGGTTTAGGGTGAGTGAGTGAGTGAGTGAGTGAGTGAGTGAGTGAGTGAGTGAGTGAGTGAGTGAGAGGTTGAACGTTGTTTTCAGGTTTTAGATGTGTATCACTTTGTTGAAACCCACGAACACGGGTATGGTTCAGGCAAACGTCATTCGAACCCATTATACAGGCTCCTGGCGTGGGTAAAGGGACACTACTCTGCACAGTGAATATCAGCAATTTAAACAACGTCACCTATGCCCCACCTGAGCACTGGTTTGTATCATAAATATGCAGTGATTAAATGTGTCTGATCGAATTGAAACATTGATCCGTATATTTACTATCAGAATATATTCAAATAATATACCAAGGAAGAAGTAACTGTGCATAACATGAAATTGCGTAAAATAAAAGTTATTTGAAGTTACAAAAATAACCCTAAATAAGCATGTAGCAAAGCACTTTGCATGAAATATGATGTGACGTATCGCGCGTGGCACCTGCACTTTGTGCACAATGAACCTATTTACTTTTTGCATGCTTTTTGACACCTGAAGTTCACACACCTGATATTGAAAACTGAAGAACGGTTGATAATGTTCTTGCCTGTGAATGAAAAACACATTAATTTCAACCTAGACTGTGATTACGTAATGCCACGATGTGGCAAGACATTTTGCTGTCTATCGAAACACGATCTCATCTCTATGGAGACGTTTTCAACATAATGTAAACACGAGAGATTTGCCTTGGACCGACCGTCCACGCGTGACGTCACGTTAGCAAGACAACCGCTTTCGGTTGACTCTTCTAAGGAATCGATTCGTGACTACCAGTTTGGACCATTCCTGACCTATGTCCAGTCAGTTCCAGGACTGCAGGGAACCGACCGAGGGAGCACAACATGCGGTCCTGGCGGCCTTCACCTGATGAAGGAGCAAGAATTAGCTCTGAAACGTCGTGTAAAGAATTTAAAAAAAGTTTTTATCCATAAAACGTATCATGTATTCACGTTCGTCCAACTTCTAAATGCCTTTCAAAAACACCACAAGCCAAGTTAATATCTTTTTGCATTAAGAATTGCACAACATCAAATAATGCACAGTTACTATATTCCAGTAGTATACGCAGGTTTCAGTAGTCTCCCTTCACTTAATTCTGAATGATCTGTTTTAATTACGGACGTGTGATCTATCCCTAATTGTCGTATGGCTTGAACACTGCAACTCTGTTATTTATCCCTTTCCAATCCCATGTGACCCGGGTTAGATTTTGTCTTCAGCAACCCATGCCTGTCGTAAAAGGCGACTAACGGGATCGGGTGGTCAGGCTCGATTACTTGGTTGACACATGTCATTGTATTTCAATTGCCTAGATCAATGCCCATGCTGTTGATCACTGGATTGTCATGTCCAGACTCGATTATTTGCAGACCGAATCCAAGTAGCTTGAATATTGCTGAGTGCGGCGTAAAACAACAAAGCAACCAACCAGCCGGAATGGTGTCACAATCTACGGCGACATCACCACCTACTTTTTCACTGAACTCCTTGGTATCCGTGGTACATTTTCTCTGGCAATTCAAACATACATTTACATTTTTTCCATTTCTCGTGCAGTGTACAGTAACTGGCACCTCTCGAGACCTGCAGCTCAACATAGAACCCAGTCATGTTTTCCTGTTGCACACTGTCTTCTACTGTGGTAATCTCGTCACTCAGATACCAGGCGGTATTCTGGCTACAAGATACTCCCCAAAGTGGTAGGTGATATCATTAAACAGCGGTGGTCTCGTCACTCAGATACCAGGCGGTATTCTGGCTACTAGATACTCCCCAAAGTGATAGATGATATCATTAAACAGCGGTGGTCTCGTCACTCAGATACCAGGCGGTATTCTGGCTACTAGATACTCCCCAAAGTGATAGATGATATCATTAAACAGCGGTGGTCTAGTCACTCAGATACCAGGCGGTATTCTGGCTACTAGATACTCCCCAAAGTGGTAGGTGATATCCATTAACAGCGGTGGTCTCGTCACTCAGATACCAGGCGGTATTCTGGCTACTAGATACTCCCCAAAGTGGTAGGTGATATCCATTAACAGCGGTAGTCTCGTCACTCAGATACCAGGCGGTATTCTGGCTGCAAAAAACTCCCCAAAGTGGTAGGTGATATCCATTAACAGTGGTAGTCTCGTCACTCAGAAACCAGACGCTATTCCGGCTACTACATACATAGATTTTTTAATCATACCTATAAATTTAGAACCATCCAATCGCTGCAATTAACTTACATCCCATGAAGTGTCGTATGATTGCATAGTATATATTGCATATCCCTTTCACCGTGTAATTATGTGTTGTCTACCCTCCATCAGGGTGTGCGGACTTAGTATAATGTTGAGCAGTGTGTTGTTCCTGGTGCTTCCCACGGCCATCCGGTACAACCTCCCAGCCGTGTATGTGATCCGGGTCCTCCAGGGCCTAGCCGAGGTAGGTTGTCGTCACTCAACATAGTGATATGCACACTCCGGCACAGCGATGACTTAACATAACATCACTGCCACAGGCTTATTTGTATATCACGTGACCAGACTTTTCTCTTGTTTGTAATCAAACGCGCATATTCATAATAAGAAGAGACTGGACTCAATAAAGCTTTTCGGCGCTCTCTTCATAATGTTTTACATTGTTACATATATATTCTTCCACAACTGCGACAGTAAGGTCTGTGGCAGTACATATTTAGATATCAAACTGGCTGCATCGTTTGCTCTCCGTCGGCTTCGATGACAGCACGTGGAGCCGTACAACCTATGTAAACAAAGGATCGCTACGCAAATCGAAATAGTGTTACGTGTTTTTGGATATTTTCTCAGTGAAACTAATTCATTCTATTAAAGATGTTTAGTTAGATGTGTAGACCCGTCAAAAATAAAAGAGTAAAAGAAATCCGTACATTATATTGAATGGACGGTGCAAGATGTGACGAATCGTCACATTTTTCTGGCCTGTGGCAGAGGTACTAGCTGGCTTGCGGCATGGAACTCTGGGTAGGAGAGTGAGTGATATGGTTGAGTCATAGGCTACCGTTGGTAGGACGGAGCACGGTGGCAGGTGACAATCATGTTCCCAACAGTAAGCAGGTTTCCTTATAATGATAACAAAGTCTTACACATTAAGTCATTATAATCTCTCTTCATCACTGGTTGTCCTTCTCCGCCGCATCCGGGTTAGAATGAGTCGTCAGTAACCAATGCTTGTCTTAAGAGGCGGCTAACGGGATCGGGTGGTCAGGCTCGCCGACTTGGTTGACACATGTCACCATATCCCAATTACGTAGGTCGATGGTCATGCTGTTGATCACTGGATTGTCTGGTTCAGACACGATTATTTACAGACCGCCGCTATATAGCTGTAGTATTGCTGAGTGTGGCGTAAAACTAAACTCACTCACACACTCACTCACGCCTTCTCCCCCGCTTTCCACAGTCGTAAAGATAAGAATTACACTTTGAAATCCATTCGTCAGCACTCGATCCTTTCCGTACCTTCAAGAAGACTCGTCCACCTCTCGATGAATGTTATGTGTGAAAATACGACAAACCCAACAATACAATATACGAGCGCTTCGGTGATGTTAAGTACCAACGGAATTAAAACGGGATAGAGTTATCGTTCTTGTTTGAAGAACCTCTGATGTTCATGCGCCAATATGAAATCCTTCCAGAGGGACACGAGTTCCAATTCGCCTTATCCGGGAAAGAGTGAGTAAGTGAGTCTGGCTTTACGCCACTTTTAGCAATATTCCAGCAATATCACGGCGGGGGACACCAGAAATGGGCTTCACACTTTGTACCCATGTGCGGAATCGAACCCGGCGTGACGAGTGAACGCTTTTACCATTATGCTACCCCACCGCCCCTTGTCCGGGAATAACACGAGTGGGTCACGAATGTTTGAAATCATAACTTAAACGCAGGCCCTGTGAAATAACAGAGCCAATAATATCTAAAACAGACACACATCTTATATCGCCTTCACTTTCACTACAATCATAATAAAGATAATTTTGACCATGGTGACTTTCAGCCATGCTTTTGATGCTACAATATGACTGGATAGTCTTGTCCACAGGGTTGTTCGGTACCTGCTCTGAATGGCGTCATTTCCGCCTGGGCTCCCAAAACACAGAGGAGCCGGATGATAACCATAGCATATGCTGGTAGGTGTTCCAATTTGGTAACGACAGACTAACTGACGGATGTTCTATTAACACATCCACACGCATGCGGCCGCACGCGCACACAAAAACACACATGCGTGCGTACATATATGATCTATTGTTGCTATAATTCAGCAGTCATACTTACATGGCAAACGCTACAATGCAGGTACATACATCAGCCCCGCTGTCGCCCTCATCACATCGGGCGCATGTGCTTGCTACGTCAGCTGGGACATCATCATCTACATCTACGGTTCGTGATTAATTTTTGTTTGATAACTGTAAAATCCTGGTCACAATTTTTTGCAATAAAAATAGTTCCTTTTCATCTATTGTTTTTAAAGATATTGCCCTGGCTTTGTAGGTGGGTGTGGCGTGGCGTGGTCACTAGTCTGGATGGTCTGTATCCATGACAACCCCAAGCATCATCCTAGGCTGGGGAAGAGGGAGAGAGAACTCTTCATCGCTGACAATTCCGTCACTTACCGCCATGATGTTGAGGTACGGGAGCAGACGTTAGATAACCACAAATGTACGTCGTCACTATGAACACATATGTTGCGTCATTTACTTTAAACCTTGTGTATAAGTGATGTATTTCAAACATTGTAGACGAAGATTATTCCATGGAGAGATATTCTAACGTCCTTTCCGGTGTACGCCATCCTCGTCGGCTCCTTCTGCCGGAATTGGATCGTCGCCATGTTGATAACACAGCAGCCTCAGTACTTTGAAGAGGTTTTCCACATGACCACAGCTGAGGTAGGAATGAACACGGTTGAGGTGAGAATGAGGCGAGTATGCTGTTAAGTGACGTAAATATAACCATGACGTACGTGTAAGTATGCCTACAACAGAAGTTGATATGCCCACAGCGGACATAAGTCTGTCCACAGCTTGTGCTGATCACCTGTACCCCAATATTCCCACCTACTCGTAACCCGAGCAAGGGCAGTAAAGGCTGTTTTCCTTGAATGAATTTAGATGTTTTCGTTTTAGTATACGTTATTTAACAAGTAAAGAGCCAATTTGTCATCAAAGTGTGTTCCACTTGAGATATTGCTTGTATGAGATCAAATGATATATCCTAGGAGTTATCATTTTGACAGTAGATTTTGTACAATGCCCTGACGTCTTCAATTATATGAGATCATAATGCTTTGATATTATCAATTACATGACTCACAATGCTATGACGTCAAACCCTGATGACATCACAATGCTATGACGTCAAACCCTGATGACATCACAATGCTATGACATCACTGTACTACAAGTCTAATGGCGGTACCGTGTTAAGAGATGTACATTTTTATTGCAAACTAATGAAGAGTGATTTTGATCATTAATAGAATCATCTCACCTTGGGCCTTCTGATATCAAATATATCAACACTCGTTGATGAAAGTAAAAATATTTGTAACTTTATCAACACGTGTTGATATAATTGATATCAGTATACACATGGGTGAGATTCTCTATATGTCGTTTACTGAAGACTGAAATCGATGTGAGGCCTGTGAAGGCCTGAGTGTGAGAGTGTAACTACGAAGGTCGTATAGTACACTTAAAACAGTTTACATGACTCTTGTATCATGTAAACTTATCTCCGTGCAGTCTTTGTCTGGAGGCATCGATGTGACAAATCTTTCTCAGATGGTGAAAACTGAAAGGTATTACTCCACCAGCCATCTTGGGATGGAATGTGCCACGTTTAGTGGATGCCGCTGCTCCCTTTGCCATTGTTAAGGGATGGGAGCTTGACGTCCAAAAGAGTGGAGAAAGTCTTGAAGGTGATCAAAGATAAACAGGACCTTCAACTGACACCTATAAGGAACAGAAAATGCATGACAAAATATTATACACATCTACGGATGATTGAAGTCTCACTACCGCAACAAACAGAGTAATCCTCTCTTATGGGAGAGTTAAGAATATTCTGAAGAATGACGTTGGCATGACAAAGGCATTTGGTTCCAAGGCTTCTTACTCCTGATCAGAAACGTTCCAGTTAGTTTTGAGGCAGACCTAGGCGATTTCGGTGAGTGGCTTGAACCAAGGAAGAATCACATGTTCATACTTAGGAGCCAGAGGCTAAACATGAGGCAGTGGAAGCAAATAACGTCTCCTCCTTCAAAAGAATATAAAGTCTGTTTGATTAGCTGTCATGGTGATGTTTTCGCTTTTGGGAATTCCAAAGGAATGCTACCAGTGGACTTCCGGAATATTATCCTAAGCTCCTTAGGCAACAAAATGAAAATATCACGGCGAGTACTCACTAAAGGTGCAGCTGTCGCCAAGACTGCAATGTGTTGCTGTACCTTTGAACTTTTAACATTTGCCAGATTGACACCTCACCTTCCCAAACTCGAAAAACTTGAAACTGTCTGTCAAACATCAAATGATAATGTCGGTATGATGTTGAGGACGTACACCACCAGTAGGAAGTCGTCTATACCAGTGGAACCCAGACATGTCGGTATGTTTGGTCCTCGGAGGCTATTACAGTGAAACATTACCTAACAACCAGCATCAGCAATGCAGCCCTTTATTATCAGGCTCAGACCTTCCCACCCACTTTTTTCGGACCCCTTTACTGTTCTAGCTGATATGTATTACTTTATTTACATGCGTTGCAGATCGGGTTTCTATCGGCTGTACCCCACGTTTTGATGGCAGCAGTGGTGATAATGGGTGGTGTCGTTGTCGACAACCTGATCAGCCGAAAGGTGTGTTCAACAACGGTGGCCAGGAAGCTTTCAGAAACAATTGGTAAGTATCCAATATCTCAACATCAGACATACCTACATAATGGACCATGAAGTTGAAATATAGAACCTTGTTAATCCTATGCTACAGTCTAAATAGATAAATGTCTTGGCCTTGTGTCATCTTCATAAATTGTTAGTACGCATTATAGAGCACAGCTTGTTGTGTCTTCACTCTGCCATGGTCAATTAGGATTGGATAGTTTTCCCTACATTTCATGGCAACTGACTTTAATGTTCTGACAGTCTTAACATAAACGCAAAAGTGCAAGTCAGTTGTTCCTGAAGAAATGTCGAACATATGGTACAAGCCAAACCAGGGAACATCATTTCGGTCCAAAAAGTTCCACAAAAATATCTAAATTGTAATTTTGCGAGACACGTTACTCGGACTGTCGTGCTCTGATGAAACATAGCTTGAGTTAGAGTTGAATGACTCTCTTTGCACATTTCTGGAAAGCGCACCCTTGGTTTTAGCTTAGAAGCTGTTAAATACAGACACCAAAGGTTGAAGCTGCTGGAACAATACTCGATAGAAGGGAAACAAAAACTTTTCAGAATGTTGAAATCCTTCGCTTGCCTAAAAGTCTTCGGATATGTTTGTCCGAATATTTATGCTGGACCTATAGTATAGGTGAGGATGATTTTTACTGGTTTCGTATTTCTCTAGGTTAGGTTCGTGAATCAGTAGAGGTAAAGGAATTGTCTTTTCACCATCGATATATCCGAGCCTTAGGTAAATGCCTCAGCTAAAGTCCTATGTTTATAAAAAAAATTAATGTAAGGAAACATTCCGAATAATATACTGAGTCAAAAAAGAAACTGCACATTCTTTCTTCAGGGCACTATAAAAGAACAAGATATGGTAAGATGGTTAAATTGTTATTATTTCATTGATGAGATCTGTGTGATGTACTCGATACACCGACAGTGCCATAATCAGTTCAAGTACAGTAGGCTACACCGCTTTATTTCGTTCCAAAACATGGGTATACAGAATGTCAAGCCACAAGAATAAAAAAACACGATCTCAACTCTAAAATGCCACTCAAACAAAGTTCAATATCGTGTATGGCCGCAAGAAATTTCTCCCGTGTATGGCCGCCCCATGATCACCACTGCCAAACACCGTCTCCTCATCGACTGCCTGATGCTTGTGAAAACGTGGTTGGGGATTCTGCGCCATTGCTCTTGCAAGGCAGCGCCAAGTTCCTGCAAATTCTGAGGTTGGTTCCTAAGACCACGAAGCCTTCTCCCAAGTGCATCCCAAACGTGCTCTATTCGATTAAGGTCAGGGGACCTCGATGGCCAGTCCATGACGTTGATTCCAGCGTTTTGAAGGAAATTTCGTGTCAACATCGCGGTATGCGGCCGAGCATTATCATGCTGGAACTGTAGACCTGGGCCATGAGCCGCCATGAAAGGAACGAGTTCAGGGGTGAGTACCTGGTCGCGGTAAGCAGCAGCTGTGAGGTTTCCACGGATGACCAGAAGTCGGGAACGGTTGTTCCCACAGAAACACCCCCACACCATGCAACTTCCGCCCCCGAATCTGTCGACTTCCTGTACACAACATTGGGCATACCGTTCACGACGTCGTCTCCAGACTCTATGCCTGCCGTCCGCGAATCTGAGGGTAAACCTGTATTCATCGCTAAAGACGACTCGATTCCAGTCTCTCTGGGTCCATCGGAGGTGACGTTGGGCCCACAGCAGACGTTGACGTTGATGAAACGGCGTCAATATTGGCCCACGATATGGACGTCGAGAATGGAGATTGGCAGCCCGACACCGATTTCGAATGGTCTGTGAGGACAGTCGACCTCTAAACATCTCAGCCCTGGTTCGTGTAGCCGGCAGAAATCTGTCACGTAGGTGACCTAGGACGATTTGACGGTCTTCTGCTCGTGACGTCACACGTGGACAACCCGACCTTGGGCGATCAGAAGTGGTGCCAGTTTGTTGTAGACCTCGCAAGTCATACACAGTACGACGGCTGCATCCCATTGCTCTTGCGACGTCAATAACTGATCTTCCCGCTTGCAACATGCCAACGGCACGTTCACGTTGCACATTTGACAATCGTGGCATTTCAAGTACCGTTAGAACTGTGGTTTAAAATTGTTTTTTTCAATTCTTGAGGCCAATGCAAACATGTGCATATGAAGAAACCTTCGATGCGAAGATCACGTGATCGACTGCACGTGCAAAACCTGATTTGACACGACGAATGGATGGGTTTGAGTGGGTTTTTCTAGAGTCGAAAGATAGGGATCCCATTTCGGATACATAGATTTATCATCAGAGAAATATTATTCATTATTTTTCAAATTACATTTTGTGAAGTTTCTTTTTTGACTCAGTATATGTCAGACAAAAAAGGGGCGTTCTAATCATAGTGAGAAGTGGTATGACAAGGAATGTTCGCCCTTGAAAGACAGGAAATATGAAGCTTTGAATAAGTTTAGAATCACTAAAATAACCACGGAGATTTACTTTGTGCAACATGTGAGGAGGAGGATATAAATGACACACTTAATAAGAACATTACAGAAGAAGAAGTTTTGAGTGCATTAAAACATCTCACAGACGGAAAAGCAGCTGGTTTAGATGGGATCCTCCCAGAGATGTTAAAAGTGTGTTAAAACATACTTTTAAAATATATTACAGAATTATTTAATTCCATTTTCCAGTCTGGTGTTTATCCAAGGTCTTGGTCGTCAGGACTTATCAAGCCACAGTGACTACATAAGAAGGGGGAGCGTAAATGACGTAAACAATTACAGAGGAATAACATTGATGGACATATTCGGAAAACTATTTACTTACATGTATATTCTAAACGGCCTCATGCAACACTTCTGTGATGTATTTAAACAGCTTCCGGAGTCGCAAGCTGGATTTAGATCCGGATATTCAACAATTGACAATATATTCACACTGCAGGGACTCGCACAGAAATACTTATCAAAACGGAATGGAAGATTCTATTGTTTGTTCATCGGCTTCCGAAAGGCATTTGATAGTAAACCGATAGTATACACTGGTACATTATTATGAAAAAGGCATTCATGGTACTTTTAAAAAAAAATATTACAAGGAATTTATGCAAATGTAAAAGCTGCTGTCAAGGTCTAACTCATCAATTACTGATTTCTTTGACACAAACACTGGTGTACGACAGGGATGCCCACTCAGCCCTTTATTGTTTTCACTATTTATACTGGATCTTGAGATTGGCCTTCAGAGAAAGATAAATTTGCTATAAGTTTTCTGTGCTAAATGGAGACTCGAGGTTAATCTAGACAAGACGGAAGCAATAGATTTCAGAAGAGAAGGCATTGTAAAACAAGTAGAAAAATGAAAGTATGGACGTAAAGAAATAAGGACTACAACATATTTTAATTATTTAGGACTAATATTTTCTTTACGGATATCAATCAATCAATCAATCAATCTTTATTTACAGTACTGAAGAAGCCGTAGGCCTAAAGTACATTTTACATACAGTAGCAGAGGGTGCAATATAAATGAATATATAGTAAATAGTATCACATCTGTAATGTAGAGGATCTCATATTCATGGCATGGTATATATACATTGCAAAGTACTTTGTGGCTATTTGATTTTGGGATGCCATGAGGGTATAGAATTTGTCTATCCGGGGGTTCAAGTAGAAATATTTCTTTATGTATTCTTTTCTGATATTTGCATACAATGGACAAACAAGCAAGAAATGATATTCATCTTCTACCTCCTGATAAGTACAATATTTACACAATCGTTTTTCCCGTGGTATCCCTAAATGCCTACCTTTTTCTATTAGAAGATCATGGGAACTACATCTGAAACGGGCTAGTGCTGTTCTGAATTTCTTAACATTAATGTCTAGAAGGTATTTTTCTGTAAGAATGAATGATTTAAAACACGAGTAGTGGTTTAAATTATTGTGTAAACATAGTGAAAAGTGACACTTTTGAAAATACATATATTTTCTTTTAGCCTTTTCTGTTACATTTTGTTCTCTCCAGATGTAATCGTAGCCGCAAGACTGAAGTATTAAACTGAAGTTTAATCTCGCCCCCCAAAAGTGTCTATAGTTGTGTACATGGGCAGATGGCCTTTATACTGGAATAAACAATTGAATTGAATATTCTATGCCTTCATGAAGGGGAAAACAAGTGCTGCCCATTCGGGAACGCCACTTCTTTCCGGAAGGTCCTGTCCCAAAGTTCAAACAGATGTTGTCTATAATGATGTCCAGTGTTCACGTGTAGTTTTCTTAGTAAACTTCAGATGGCATTTGTTTTTTAATTTTTGGCAAATTGTCCTGAACTTTTGAAGATTGAGAAGTGATCGAATGAAGGGTCCTGTTGCAGGGTTCGGTGTGGAGGCAGTCTGCGTGATGGCCATAGTGTTCGTAGAAGACTGGAAAGCTGCTTTCCTTCTGCTCTGTGTGGGGGTCGGCTTCAGTGGCTTAGCAATCTCCGGTAAAACTTCAACGTAATTAACCTAGCATTGTAAGACTAACTCCGTGTCAGCACTGTTCTCCTATATCTACCGATAAATTATTAGGGACATTTACCTGCAAGAGGAAATGTCATTGCCGCTGTTTAAGCAATGTATGCACGAAGATTGGAAATATTAAGCAATTCGTGTTAAACGATAAGACTATGACTCGAAATGCAAAGGCATTACACAAAGTTAACATGCACACAATAATTCTTGTTCTTTCAAGAATTCAAAAAGGTTTCTTGTTGAAATTCTGTATCTACCTTCCCCCTGTAGGGTACCAGGTGAATCCACTTGACCTAGCCCCCAAGTTTGCCAGCGTGGTAACAGGTCTAGCAAGGACTGGACTACTTGGTGCCATCCTCAGCACACTGACCGCCTACTTCGCTAGGAACATGGTCGTGAGTATATCGACCATTACAACCTACAACCCGATCCCCTCTCCCGTCTTCATACTTGTGTCGCATTTATTCTGTCTCTGTACTCAGTACCACGATGTTGTCCTCTGATGTAGGACAAGTCTCAGCGACCTATGCTGGTCCTTAGATGCAGGTCACCGTGATATGACCGAACACAGTGATATCCAATAATGGACAAGTCCTCGCTGTGCTTGTTGTCCGCCATTGTTGTCCGATTCATATTCCACAGAAGATGCCGCGTTGCGTTAATACTTGGACAACAGATAAGCAGATCCTTGGCTACAGAAGGTGGTGGCACGTGGCCCGGTGTAGTCTGTCTCACAGTCCCTGAACCACATTATTTTCCCTACTGCCAAGGCCTCTCTGCAGTGCTAAAGCCCAATATGAAGCAAGTCTAGATTTCCTCAGGTTAATGCAAAGCGCACCTGTCTCGGAGATGGTGGTTGAATGCGTTCTTGTAAGGGTTTCACGAAGTCAGCGATCTGACTATATTTAGTATTTTAGCACATTTTATCTATAGCCAAATCAGATCGCTGTTAATTTTCAGTGCGTGGTAGATCAATGCAAGGGTCATCAGACTGAGATTACTAAACACAGGCAAACTCATTATGGATGTTATTATGTCTCGGAATGTCTGGGAAAGATCAGCCCGCTGATAGGTGTCGATTCAGCATGGTTTGGTGCGTGGCGATTGTATACACGATACAATAGAGAAGACATTCGCTGAGTTAGTACACATTCTGAACAAGGGTACCGGCTCTGTGCCACAAAATCAAGATATTTAGCGCTTCCGAAGACGTAACTCCCAAAGTACGGCTTTGATTTTTGTCGTCTACTGTGAGCATTGTTAAATTTGCCCAAGAACGAACTTGGTGTGTTGACCTCGTTACATCCATTTCTTTCAATATAGTTCCACGACCATTGCAGTGACATTATGTCCTTGATGCTAGCGTTACAAGACCGGGCGATATCCATATGCATTTTAGTTAGCACATGTTCTACAAGGGGATGAGCTTGATCTGCAGAAACCGGCATCATTTCAAAGGACTTGCCAAGCTTTGGTACTGTAGCATAAACTTGGGCGATGGGGTAGCGATCGTTCGTCACGCCGAAGACCGGGGCCTAATTCCCCATATAGTACAATGTGTGATGCCGTGATATTGCTGGAATATTGCTAAAAGCGGCGTAAGACCTTAATTACTAAACCCTCACTTTAACAAACACCAAAACCCAAATACCATCAGGGGGTTGGTACCCTCGACTGAACTGCGTGCAACCTGGTACAACGATCTTCAAGGCAGTGGTTTATACAGGGCATGGTGTTAGCTGTTATGACGTCCTGAGATGATGTGACCCGTGAAGATCCGGGTTAGATTTGGTCTTCAGTAACCTATGCTTGTCGTAAGAGGCGACTAACGGGATCGGGTGGTCAGGCTCGCTGACAAGGTCACTAAACTAAACTAACTCACTCACTCGTGGACTCACTCATGTGTGTGTGTGAGAGAGAGAGAGAGAGAGAGAGAGAGAGAGAGAGAGAGAGAGAGAGAGAGAGAGAGAGTGAATCTGGCTGAAATATTGCTAAAAGTGGGGTAAACTTAAACTCACTCACTCATCACTCGGGACATATCCCACTTATCCCCTTTATCAGGTCGCTGGCAATTTATCTTATTTAGCAGCAAACTGTTAGTTTTTAACAGTACTTCTACCCACAGTCTGACGCCGATGTTCCCATGGCGTGGAAACGACTCTTCATCGTCGCCGCCTTCATCCACTTCGCTGGCGTGCTCTTCTACGCTGTCTTTGCATCAGGGAAACGACAGCCTTGGTCAGGGTCACCGTCATCGACGTCAGTCGCCACTACTCATCCAATCACATGTCATTACGACGGTTATGACGAGACCACGAGACTGTTAAGGAGACCCGTAAACCATCGTCGATCCCATGTCCTGGTTTCCGACCTTGATGAATATGGTTCAACAACTAGGTTTCTCAATACTATATGATAATATTATATATATGTAATAAGAAATTATGTTGCACCCACAAATCTGTGGACGAGATAAAATATAAAACATTTAAATAGATATGTAAAGTGTAATTATGTATAATATCAATCTGGCTGTTTTTTTAATACCAGAAGGTTTTAGTGGATATCCACGTATCGTTGAGGGGCGGTGGGGTAGCCTAGTGGTTAAAACTTTTGATCGTCACGTCGAAGACCCGGGTTCGATTCCCCACATGGGTACAATGTGTGAAGCCCATTTCTGGTGTCCCCCAGAATATTGCTGCTGGAATATTGCTGAAAGCGGAGTAGATTAAACCATAATCACTCACACACTTATCGTTGACCATGGCAGTGACACGTGTGTCGGGTCAGTCGCGATGGTGTCCGTCATCACCCCACAGAGTGACACTTTGTGGGGATTGTTGCTTGTCTAGAGATTAATAACAGTGGGAATTTACCATCGTCTCTTTAAATGCTTGGGGATTTGTATAAATTATTGTAAATAATATCTTAAATAAAGATACTAATACTGAAGTGTGGATATGCTTCCCTGACTTGAACGTTGTTTTGTATTATATATGTTTGTTGTTTAACGCCGCACTCACCAATATTCCAGCTAGGTCTGTTAATACTCGAGTCTGGACCAGACAATCCAGTGATCAACAGCATGAACATCGAATTACCCAAATAGGATACGATGACATGTGTCAAACCAGTCAGCGAGCCTGACCACCCGATCCCGTTAGTGGCTTCTTATGAGGGCATGGGTTTCTGAAGATCAATTCTATCCCGGCAGTTCACAGGCAGGCATGATAAGAATGTTGTCACTGACGATGATTTCTCAAGCATCACAAAAGTAGGTTACTACTGAAAAGCAGGTTACTGGTCTACCCTGACAAAACAAGAATACAGCTGTCACTTTTGATGGCGTCTTATCAGGCAAACAGATTACTGTTTAAACAGATGAGAACGGCGGTTCATATTAAATAAGATACAAATATTAAGGGTGTAAGTATGGGCATATTTTAGAACAATTTGCAGATGACACTACCGTAACCCTAGATGGCTCAGAAAAGGGATTACAAGCAGTTTTTAACATTTTAATTTTTTTGTAAATTTAAGACTCAAAGTGAAAACTGAAAAGACAAAATTAATTTGGACTGGTTCCAAACAAATCTCGTATAAAACTATGCAAGGATATGAATTAAGACAAAATTGGAATCAGACAAAATTTAAACTTTTGTGGATTGATGTTGATATAGACCTAGAAAATATGCAAAACCTGAATTATGAAAATAAGCTCACTTCAACTGAGAAAGAAATGAGAATGTGGTCAATGATACATTTAACTGAGAAGAAATGTTATTTTAAATCCCTACTACTTCCCAAACTAAATCACTTGTTTAGTATCTTACCAAATTCCCCTATCAGAACCATAGACACATGCCCAAAAAATATGTTCGCCTTTATTTAGAAGGGGAAAAGAGATAAGATAAAGAGAAGCACAATGAAAAAGCAATTTCGCTTTGGAGGAATAGGTGCACCTGACATACAAAATACTATTTCGGCTCAAAACTTGAACTGGATAAGGATGTACTCCAAGGTTGGGTGAATTATCTAACTAAACATTGTGAAAATGTAGAACTACATTCCGGAGTACTTCTCAATCCATTTGGTGGAATAATAATGCAACAATTGATGGAAAACATTTTATTCAGAATACTTTGAAAAAGGTATAGTTATATTAATGACCTAATGAATGAGGACAGACTGCAATTTTGTTGAATTACAGACAATGTTTAATATGAAAGTGGACTCTTTAAGATTTCAGGGTTTGCGAGCCTCAGTTTATGATTATATTTAAAAGTATGTAACCAAACATTCACAGAAACCGAAATGTCCTTTTCTACTCTGTACTTGTTTAAACCTTGGAGAACAAAAGGCAGTAAACATTTTTATCAAACTTTATTGGATGAAAACAAACCTCCTCAACACTTCAAATGGGGAAAAGAGTTTAATAAAGAATACGCTGACTCTGAAAAGGAGAGTATATACCTGATGGCAAAAAGATGTACCCAAAGTGTCAATTTAAAATGGTTTCAGTTCACAGTTGAACATAACATTCACAAATTCACAAATAAAACCTTACACTAAATCGGTTATGTTGACTCTCCATATTGTACTTGTGAAACAAGGCCTTGAACAATTGTCCATCTATTATGTGAGCGTGATTACACAAAGGTATTATGGAATCACTTGTCTGATTGGTTAAATACAGTAGCTGGTGGGAGAATAGTTTCTACTAATGAGAAAATCATCCTTGGATTTGGAGGAAAACAAAATAATCCATTAAATGTGATCACTATTATTCCCAAGCAAACAGTTACAAATGCGGTAAAAAAATTAAACTATGTTTTAAACATGTTAAGAGAGAGATTCTTATTTGCTATGAAGCAACAAAAATAACATCTTTTCAGAATTGCCAAAACTCAAATTTGTTCCAGTTTTGGTCATCATTCCAGGCTCTCTTTGCTGAAGTTTAAAACCCAACCTTCCAATCTGGCAGCAAAACAACGTTGTCCATCACAGCAATAGTGTTTACTGTTTGTAAACAGATATTGGCAATTTGTATACTGGTCAACTATTTATTCACATGTTGTTTCTACCTTACCATTGTATTGTATGCTGTATCTACACGACACCTGCAACAATTCTGCATATGTAAACGCTGAACTTAAATTCTACTTGATATGTCTTTTAATTGTTTAGGATGTGATCCTGTATTTGTAACATGGAAATGGGAAATAAAATACTAAAATGAAAAAAGGAACCGCCCTTTCTGGTCGGAGGTATAAAAATAATTCCAAGTTTAAAACATGAAAAGAACAAAGTAATTAAAAAATGCACTGATCTAAATGAAACACCGTGCTGCATAGATTTTATTCGTATGTAACTGTGGAAAAGAATCCAGAAAGCATTTTTCAAATTATAGGTTGCACAAATGTTGAAAACAAATTTGAAGTTGAATACATGACAAAACATTCACGTTTGAACATACACATCAAAATCATAAGTTGCATTTTAACTGTTCTGTTGAGTACTGAAATCGTTCCCTGAATTTTATAGGCATCCATGGTGTAGTGATTAAGGTATAATGACGATGAAGTAAATGAATTTTAAGTAAAATGAAAAACAGCAGTATTCTTTAAAAAAATCCAAGTATTAAAATAAACGTCACACTGTACCTCTAATATTGGTATTAAAAGCCTACACTAAGTTTGAAAAGACTCTACACAGTAGTTTTCAAGTTACAGGTCACACAAAAAACCGTAATGTTGACAACCGATGTGCTTGTAAGTACTACATGACACACGCCCCTCAGTTGTTAAAGCTCTCGTCCATAGTACTCCAAGATCCTACAAGAAAAATAGCATATGAAGCATATTCGAAACTCCAGGTCACACATCACGAAAGTCTTTATATCAACTCCCTAACATAACCGGAAGCAGCGTGGTCGTTCCCAGAAATCATAGACAAATTGGTTAAATCAGATGTTCCTCTTGCAGTTGTGATGCTTCCATTAACTGGAGAATTTGACATCTGTTGTATTCCATCCACGACTAACGGGATCGGTGGTCCGAAGGAACGGAGAAATCATATTACTATATATTGCTTGTCTTTTTCCTTCAGCAAACCCGTGAAGGTCCGGCTTAGAATGAACCTTCAGTAACCCATGTTTGTCGTAACAGGCGACTAACGGGATCGGGTGGTCAGGCTCGCTGACTTAGTTGACACATGTCATCGTATCCCAAGTGCGTAGAACGATGTTCATGCTATTGGTCATTGGATTGTCTGGTACAGACTTGATTGTTTACAGACCACCGCCATAAAGCTGGAATATTGTTGAGTGCGACGTAATACTAAACATACTCACTGAAATCATTTCTCTACACTTAAGAAGATGAATACTGTAATAAAATAGTGAAAAGGAAAGACAACTAAACTATGTAACTGCAACAAATTATGTTAGGTAAAAACACGGGTTCAATTTCCATAATGGGCGTAAAACTAAACTCACTCTCTCACTAGAAGCTAGAGAAAACGATTGTTGGAAGACTAACAGGCTCCCATATGCAAGGTGTTACCACTCTGTTCTAGACATCAGTGTTGAGGTGTTTGATACCTACATCCTATCGTTTCCAGAAGTCCGGCGAGTGATGCACAGGTGAAAGCTGGTCCAGACCATAGACAGATGGGTCAAGGCTTGTGTCCGAGTCCAGGCCTGAAAGAAAGGACATCAGCACATGAACAACTGACACACAGAGCAACCCTGTTTGGGCGAACTAATGTGTCCAGAGTCTAGGCCGACCCATTCACGGTTTTGACCAATCTTATAGCGGTCTAGATCAACCGAATTCCAGAGAGCTTGTTCAGTGGGTTAGAATTTGTTTTAAGCAAGCCATGCTTGTCGTAAAAAGCGACTATCGGAATCGGGTGGTCAGGCTCGCTGACTTGGTTGACACATGCCATCGTATCCCAATTATGTAGATCGATGCTTATGCTGTTGATACCTGGATTGTCTGGTTACAGACCACCGCCATATAGCTGGAATATTGGTGGGTGCGGCGTAAAACAACTAACTAACAAACGAACAAACCATTGCTGCAGGCCATACGCTTTCTGATTTATACACAACCAAAGGAGGACTTAACTACGATGAAGTATTACGATCCTTGAAAAAATGAAAAACGGAAAAAGCCCTGGGACTTCAGGATTCACAGTTGAATTTTACAAATTCTTTTGTCTAGATACATAAATACTTGATACGATCCCTTAATTTTGGCTATAATAATGGCTCACTGTCAGTAAGCCAACACAAGGACTATTAACCTGTTTCCCCAAAAGAACAAATCAAAACAACATCTAAAAAATTGGAGGCCGATATCCCTGTTAAATAGCTCTTCAACAATTGCAAACAGACTTAAAACAGCATTACCCGAAATAATAAACGAAGACCAGAAAGGTTTTATAACAAACAGATATATGGGAGAATACACAAGACTCGTCTACGATATAATGGATTATACGGAATGTATGGAAATACCTGGCTTGCATTTATCAATTGATTTTGAAAAAGCTTTTGATTCGGTAGACTGGAACTTTATACAAAATGTTTTGAGTTTCTTTAACTTTGGCCCCTCTGCCAAGCACTGGATAGAAACATTTTTCCGTAATATCAGATCAAGTATTCTTATTAATGGATTCGGAACAGATTTCTTTAGTATTACCAGAGGCTGCAGACAAGGTGACCCATTATCCCCATATTTATTCGTATTATGCGCAGAAAAATTAGCAATAATGCTTCGTAACAATGAAAAAATCAAAGGAAAAAAAATCGGAAACACTACCTCATATCACAGTTCGCTGACGATACAACGCTGGTTCTAAATGGTAATGAAGCCTGCGTACAGAGTGCGTTTAACACACTAGATACGTACGCTGCTTTCTCAGGCCTTAAAATAAACAGGAGTAATACACAACTATTTTGGATAGGCTCACAACGCTCATGAGATGCAAAATTATGTAAACAATGGAAATTAGACTGGGAAAAGAAAAGTTTCACCCTTTTAGGCCTCACCTTTACACACAACCTGGCGGAAATGGCAGAAAACAATTATAAGGACAAACTAAAAGGCATTCAGTCGATTATGAATTTATGGTTACAACGTGATCTAACTCCATTAGGAAGAACTACTTTATTAAAAAGCTTAATCTTACCAAAACTCAACCATCTATTCGCGTCGCTTCCAGATCCTAACGATAAACTAATCAAAGAAATCGAATCACTCTGCTTCAGTTTTATATGGAAAAACAAACCCCATAAAATCAGTAGAAAAATAATTACAAAACCATATGATGAAGGAGGACTACGAGCTCCAAATATAAGGCAGATAATATCTTCTAAAAAATATCATGGATTAGGCGACTATTGAACTCAAGACCCAATTCAAAAACCCTTGATTTATTTCTTTTCAATACCACGCGATCATCTCTCGACCACCTCATAAATAACGAAGATAACCTCACATGTAAACTAACAAATCGCAGAACAAATCACTTCTGGAGGGATGTCCTGAAATGCTGGGAGTTATACCTAAACTTTAAAGGTGATAATGCCAAAAACGAACATGATATCCTTTCCCAAATCGTACGGCACAATAAGAACATTAGAGAAGGAGGAAGCACTTTCTTCTGTAAACACTTCTCTGACAAAGGTATCCACTGCATTAATGACTTAATTGATAACGACTGAAACTATCTCAACCTTTCTTCCCTTCAGAAGAAATATCAGATATAAACAAACTTCCTTGAATATCATGGCATTATCAAATCAAATGAGTCTTATGTTAAAAGTAAACGCGTTAAACTCAAATCAAAACTTCCGACACCAATTCTGTCATATTTTATGAAAGATGTATGTGAAACGAAAAAAGGCTGCAGAATATTCTATGACGCATTAAACACAAACATGTTCGACATTAAGACCAGAAAACACATTCGGAAATAGGAGAACAATCTCAGATGTACCTTGACAGAACAAGAATCGAAAACCATACATTATATACCTTTCCGCACACATGCAAACAGCAAACTACAATGGTTTCAACACAACATCATTTACAGAATACTACCCACAAACGACCTCCTATATAAAATGAAATATACGAATAATAACAAATGTGACTTATGCAAAACTGACATTGAATCAATAACACACCTCTTTTACGAATGTACAAAAGTTAGCCATATCTGGAGAGAACTAGAAGATTGGATCGAGGAGAAAACAGGAATATAAAACTAGATTTTACCAAACAACATATCCTGTTTGGCTATTATGAAAAGCGAAATGATGTTGTAGATCTGATCATAAATACAACTAAATTCAACATTTATAAAAGCAAACGTTCTAAACGACCACCACATTTCCAATATATGAAAAGAGATAAACCAATGCATATCATATAGACAGATATACCTCATCCTTAACTTGTGATTACACCAAATTCACGAAATACTGGTCAATATGTCATTGCCTATTTACCTGAACAATACATCTCCTGTAAAAGCCATAACCGTCAGCTACTGAATTGTCATACCCATTTTGATAAGATACTATGTTTATTGAACCATGAACTATCCATTTGCTGTAAAACATGTACCGGTGAAAAGAAATAAAATTATAAAAAAATATTCTGGTCTCGTAAAATCCTAATCCTGGTCACAGCCAACCCATTCCTGGAGTAGGCAAAGCTATTTCTGGCTGAAGTCACCACACTCCTGATATTAACCTACTTAATCCCCGGATAGACCTACCAGCAAGGGGATACTCCTTTTCTGTGCAATATATGTTGTTTATATCTGTAGTTACACAAGTATATTTCTATAGGTAACATCTAGAGATGGAAATATGGAAGTGTTTGTTTCAGCGATTTAGAAAGGGTCGGGAGCAATTAAAGCTACTTGCCATGTCCGCTATTTGTGTTGTTGGGAGTTGAGTGTTGCGGTGACTGGGCGAGCTCGCATTCCAGGTGATTGCATTTTACTGCAACATGAAGTTAGTCTCAATGAACGATATAGTCATACAACACAATCACTTGTAGTGATATACCACACAATACACTGTATCCCAATGAAACATGTACATTGTAGTCAAACAAAACACAAAATAGACTGGATTTCACTCATTGTGAAGTCACATAACACGATAGACTCTTACTTAAACATGTCACGCTGAGCATAATAGGTATTTCCATAGCATACATTTGTCTGACATTCACTGAAACAGGTAGTTCCTCAGCATACATTTGTCTGACATTCACTGAAACAGGTAGTTCCTCAGCTGAAACAGGTAGTTCCTCAGCATACAATTGTCTGACTGTCACTGAAACAGGTCGTCTCTCAGCATACATTAGTCTGACTTTCACTGAAACAGGTCTTCTCTCAGCATACATTTGTCTGACTTTCACTGAAACAGATCGTCTCTCAGCATACATTAGTCTGACTTTCACTGAAACAGGTCGTCTCTCAGCATACATTTGTCTGACTTTCACTGAAACAGGTCGTCCCTCAGCATACATTTGTCTGACTTTCACTGAAACAGATCGTCTCTCAGCATACATTAGTCTGACTTTCACTGAAACAGGTCGTCTCTCAAACAGGTGAAACAGGTCGTCTCTCAGCATACATTTGTCTGACTTTCACTGAAACAGATCGTCCCTCAGCATACATTTGTCTGACTTTCACTGAAACAGATCGTCTCTCAGCATACATTAGTCTGACTTTCACTGAAACAGGTCGTCTCTCAGCATACATTTGTCTGACTTTCACTGAAACAGATCGTCTCTCAGCATACATTTGTCTGACTTTCACTGAAACAGGTTGTCCCTCAGCATACATTAGTCTGACTTTCACTGAAACAGGTTGTCCCTCAGCATACATTAGTCTGACTTTCACTGAAACTGGTTGTCCCTCAGCATACATTTGTCTGACTTTCACTGAAACAGGTAGTCCCTCAGCATACATTTGTCTGACTTTCACTGAAACAGGTTGTCTCTCAGCATACATTTGTCTGACTTTCACTGAAACAGGTTGTCCCTCAGCATAGATTAGTCTGACTTTCACTGAAACAGATCGTCTCTCAGCATACATTTGTCTGACTTTCACTGAAACAGGTTGTCTCTCAGCATACATTTGTCTGACTTTCACTGAAACAGATCGTCTCTCAGCATACATTTGTCTGACTTTCACTGAAACAGATCGTCTCTCAGCATACATTTGTCTGACTTTCACTGAAACAGATCGTCTCTCAGCATACATTTGTCTGACTTTCACTGAAACAGGTCGTCTCTCAGCATACATTAGTCTGACTTTCACTGAAACAGGTAGTCTCTCAGCATACATTTGTCTGACTTTCACTGAAACAGGTAGTCCCTCAGCATACATTAGTCTGACTTTCACTGAAACAGATCGTCTCTCAGCATACATTAGTCTGACATTCACTGAAACAGGTCGTCCTTCGACATACATTTGTCTGACTTTAACTGAAACAGGTAGTCCCTCAGCATACATTAGTCTGACTTTAACTGAAACAGATCGTCTCTCAGCATACATTAGTCTGACATTCACTGAAACAGGTCGTCCTTCGACATACATTTGTCTGACTTTAACTGAAACAGGTAGTCCCTCAGCATACATTAGTCTGACTTTAACTGAAACAGATCGTCTCTCAGCATACATTTGTCTGACTTTAACTGAAACAGGTAGTCCCTCAGCATACATTAGTCTGACTTTAACTGAAACAGATCGTCTCTCAGCATACATTAGTCTGACATTCACTGAAACAGGTCGTCCTTCGACATACATTTGTCTGACTTTAACTGAAACAGGTAGTCCCTCAGCATACATTTGTCTGACTTTAACTGAAACAGGTCGTCTCTCAGCATACATTTGTCTGACTTTAACTGAAACAGGTAGTCTCTCAGCACAAATTAGACTGAGCATATAGCAATCAGAGGCATAATAAGGTCTATGTCACTATCTCACATTGGGTAAAGATGTGAACAAACCAACATGTCATGTGCATATCATATTCTTGAACGTTAGGGCAATAATTCGGACATACTGATAACAATAATTGATAGCAACCAACGTCACTCAAGTAGGGCATTGGAAGTAATCAATTGCCTCTGGAATGAAGAAATACTGGCAAGTACTGAGACACTGAATATTACACAAGATGGTCACTTACCTTGGAGTCGCTCCTTGTTCTCTGTCATGTGGGTCAGCTGACCTACAGCATAAAACAACTTTCTTTCTTTGTTTCCTCATCATTATTTGTTTCAAATCTATAAATGATTTGGACATATATGCAAATATAGGTATATCGGTTGTGAGTTCCCAGGGAAACATCCACACATGTCTGACGGAAGTTCATCATGTCTCAGGGGGCGGTGGGGTAGATCAGTGGTTAAAGCGTTCCCTCGTCACGTCTTAGACTCGGGTTCGATTCCCTACATGGGTACAATGTGCGACGCCCATTTCTGGTGTCTCCCGAGCTAATATTACAGGAATATTGCTACACGTGGCGTAAAACCCAACTCACCACTCACTCACTCACTCACTCATCAACACGAGGTAACAGGGATTGACGTTCCATTTTCCCATCCACGTGTTTTCATACCAATAGTGAATAGTGATTTCTGAATATAACTTTGAATAAAGCGATCTTTAAAGGAGATGACTCTTGAATTGTTTGATCTTTGGCTTAACCGACGTTTGAAAATGTCGATCTATAAATGTCATTGGCCCTGAATATGATGTGCCTTGAATGTATCGAATTTTGGGTATAATGATGTGCCTTGAATACTTCGAATTTTGAATCTAATGGTGTATGAATGGGGCTATTATATTTACATATATTTGAATGGACATTTCTTTAAATATCACCTTTATTGAAATCAGATCCTTGAATATTCAGTTCCTTGTTCTCCCACTGATGAAGCTCGCTGTGTTCAGGGTTTTGTTGGTGGTCACCTACAGCACCCTGTATCAGCAGCTAACCGCGTTAAAAGGTACATAATGATTGGGGAACTTACGTCTGAGAGTTAATAATTCCGCCACGAGTTTCTTTCTCTCCGGTGTATTCTTCTTCAGTTCTTCACACTGCTTTTCATTACACTGATATGCGGCCCTCAAAGCCTTCTCAAGTTTTTCATTCTCTTCTGATGGAAATGACATACACAGGCATGAGTATCCAATTTTCATAGTCAAGAGCCATTATAATACTAGTACCACGACGGAACCATTTTTGAAAACCAATTGTTTACCCTTATCACATATTACAATCAATGTGACATTTTACCCTAGGTAATGTATGAATTATAACACCTTCATATTTCAGTCATTTGTTTTCATTTCCTAATTTTTAATCCCATCAAAAGGCGTTCCGTGTGATGTTTTAAGCCTCTTTGAACTTCTGAATAATATTCTCGTCAGTTTATCAAATACATTGGGAAAACTTTCGCACCCAGTATGAACCAGACTGTGTGTGACGCATGTATGAGACTATGTATGACCCAACCTGGTGTGAGGTGCATGTGTGAGAGACTATGTATGATCTAACCTGGTGTAAGGTGCATGTGTGTAAGACTATGTATGACCCAGCCTGTGTGTGAGACACCAGGTCAGGTCACACATGCACCTCACACCAGGTTCGGTCATACATAGTCTCACACACATATATCTTACACCAGGTTGGGTCATACATAGTCTCACAAACATGCATCTTACAGCAGGTTGGGTCAAACATAGTCTCACACACATGCTTCTCACAAGAGGTTGGGTGATACATTGTCTCCCACACATACATCTCACACCAGGTTGGGTGATACATAGTCTCACACACATGCATCTCACACCAGGTTGGGTCATACATAGTCTCACACACATGCACCTCACACCAGGTTGGTCATACATAGTCTCACACACATGCATCTTACACCAGGTTGGGTCATACATAGTCTCACACACATGCAACTCACACCAGGATGGGTCATTCATAGTCTCACAAACATGCATATCACACCAGGTTGGGTTATACATAGTCTCACACACATGCATCTTACACCAGGTTGGGTCATACAAAGACTCACAAACTTGTGTCTTACAACAGGTTGGGTCATACATAGTCTCACACACATGCAACTCACATCACGTTGGGTCATACATTGTCTCACAAACATGCATCTCACACCAGGTTGGGTCATACATAGTCTCACACACATGCACCTCACACCAGCTTGAGATATACAAAGTCTCACACACATACATCTGCCACTACTTTGGGTCATACATAGTCTCACACACATGCATCTCTCACACCAGGTTGGGTCATACATAGTAGTCTCACACACATGCATCTCACGCCAGGTTGGGACATACATAGTCACACACATCTCTACACCAGGTTGGGTCATACATAGTCTCACACACATGCACCTCACACCAGGTTGGGTCATACATAGTCTCACACACATGCACCTCACACCAGGTTGAGATATACATAGTCTCACACACATACATCTGCAACCAGTTTGGGTCATACATAGTCTCACACACATGCATCTCACACCAGGTTGGGTCATACATAGTCTCACACACATGCACCTCACACCAGGTTGGGTCATACATAGTCTCACACACATGCATCTCACACCAGGTTGGGTCATACATAGTCTCACACACATGCACCTCACACCAGGTTGGGTCATACATAGTCTCACACACATACATCTTACACCAGGTTGGGTCATACATAGTCTCACACACAGATGTATCTTACACCATGCATCTTACACCAGGTTATACATAGTCTCACACACATACATCTTACACCAGGTTGGGTCATACATAGTCTCACACACATACATCTTACACCAGGTTGGGTCATACATAGTCTCACACATGCACCATACCCCAGGTTGGGTCATACATAGTCTCACACACATGCATCTCACACCAGGTTGGGTCATACATAGTCTCACACACATGCATCTCACACCAGGTTGGGTCATACATAGTCTCACACACATGCATCTTACACCAGGTTGGGTCATACATAGTCTCACACACATGCATCTTCCCACACCAGGTTGGGTCATACATAGTCTCACACACATGTATCTCACACCAGGATGGGTCATACATAGTCTCACACACATGCATCTCACACCAGGTTGGGTCATACATAGTCTCTCACACACATGCATCTCACACCAGGTTGGGTCATACATAGTCTCACACACATGCATCTTACACCAGGTTGGGTCATACATAGTCTCACACACATGCATCTTACACCAGGTTGGGTCATACATAGTCTCACACACATGCATCTTACACCAGGTTGGGTCATACATAGTCTCACACACATGCATCTTACACCATGTTGGGTCATACATAGTCTCACACACATACATCTTACACCAGGTTGGGTCATACATAGTCTCACACACATACATCTTACACCAGGTTGGGTCATACATAGTCTCACACACATACATCTTACACCAGGTTGGGTCATACATAGTCTCACACATGCACCATACACCAGGTTGGGTCATACATAGTCTCAAAAACACACGTAAGAGGCGACTAACAGGAGTGGTGGGGCTCGCTGACTGAATCATCTCATTCGCCCCGCATTGTTCGCTAAGCTTCTGAACCCAAGCTAAAACACATTACAAAGCTGAGTTAAATACACGTGGTGGACACATTACAAGGATGGGTTAAATAAACGTGCTGGACACATTACAAGGCTGAGTTAAATAAACGTGCTGGACCCATTACAAGGCTGAGTTAAATAAAGGTGCTGGACCCATTACAAGGCTGAGTTAAATACACGTGCTGGACCCATTACAAGGCTGGGTTAAATAAACGTGCTGGACACATTACAAGGCTGAGTTAAATACACGTGCTGGACCCATTACAAGGCTGTTCGTCGTTTCCCACTTTAGCTTTGTGGGTCCAAGTGTCGTCTGTCCCAACTATTAGCTGTGTGTGATCTAGTATCGTCAGTTCCAACCTTTGGCTGTGTGTGATCTAGTGTCGTCTTTTTCCTATCTCTAGATTTGTGTTATGTAGTGTCGACTGAACCCCCACACCACCCCACCACCCCACCCCCTATGGTTTGTGTGATCTAGTGTCGCCTATTCCTACCGCTTCTTATATATGTTCTCGTCTCTTCTACTCCTACCTTTAGCTATTTGCACAGATCCTTCTCTTTCTTTTACTTGCATTTCACAATGGGTCACCTGATCTTCAAGTTCAGCTTTCTTGACTTCTAACTCCTCAATAAGATCTGTGAAAAGAGAATTATTGACCCGGTCACAAAACATTCTATTAGCTCTCTACGGCACAATATTAATTAAGATCACGCCTTAACCACCACAATATTTAACATCATGCCTCAGATACTCCAATATTTAACATCATGCCTCACATACTCCAATATTTAACATCATGCCTCAGATACTCCAATATTTAACATCATGCCTCAGATACTCCAATATTTAACATCATGCCTCAGATACTCCAATATTTAACATCATGCCTCAGATACTCCAATATTTAACATCATGCCTCATATATGCCTCAATACTCCAATTTAACATCATGCCTCACATATCCAATGTTTAACATCATGCCTCAGATAATTCCAATATTTAACATCATGCCTCAGATACCCAATATTTAACATCATGCCTCAATATCCAATATTTAACATCATGCCTCACATACTCCAATATTTAACATCATGCCTCAGATACTCAATGTTAAACATCATGCCTCAGATACTCCAATATTAAACATCATGCCTCAGATACTCCAATATTAAACATCATGCCTCAGATACTCAATATTTAACAATGCCTCACATACTCCAATATTTAACATCATGCCTCACATACTCCAATATTAAACATCATGCCCATAATCTAATATTTAACATCATGCCTCAGATAACTCCAATAAAACATCATGCCTCATTATACTCCAATATTTAACATCATGCCCTCAGATACCTAATATTAAAACATCATGCCTCAGATATCTATCCAATATTTAAAACATCATGCCTCAGATACTCCAATATTAAACATCATGCCTCAGATACTCAATATTTAACATCATGCCTCAGATACTCAATATTTAACATCATATTAAACATCATGCCTCAACTCCAATTTAACATCATGCCTCTCCAATATTAAACATCATGCCTCACAACTCCAATATTTAACATCATGCCTCAGATACTCCAATATTTAACATCATGCCTCAGATACTCCAATATTTAAACATCATGCCTCAGATACTCCAATATTTAACATCATGCCTCAGATACTCCAATATTTAACATCATGCCTCAGATACTCCAATATTTAACATCATGCCTCAGATACTCCAATATTAAACATCATGCCTCAGATACTCCAATATTAAACATCATGCCTCAGATACTCCAATATTAAACATCATAACATCATGCCTGCTCCAATATTTAACATCATGCCTCAGATACTCCAATATTTAACATCATGCCTCAGATATTCCAATATTAAACATCATGCCTCAGATACTCCAATTTTTAACATCATGCCTCAGATACCCCAATGTTTAACATCATGCCTCAGATACTCCAATATTAAACATCATGCCTCAGATATTCCAATATTAAACATCATGCATCAGATACTCCAATTTTTAACATCATGCCTCAGATACCCCAATGTTTAACATCATGCCTCAGATAGTCCAATATTTAACATCACATGCCTCAGATACTCCAAAATTTAACATCATGCTTCAGATACTCCAATATTTAACATCATGCCTCAGATACTCCAATATTTAACATCATGTCTCAATTACCCCTATGTTTAACATCAGGCCCCAAATATTATATTTGTATGAGGCCTCAACAGTTTCAACGTTGACATCAGTTGATCAGAGCGATGTTTAAGATTCGAATTATTACTATATAAGAAAAAATACTGTCCTGAACAAATAAAGATCTCAACAATAACAAACCAACAGGGAACTCACTGTCCAAGAGACAGACTTGTATTTACCTCTCAGCGTTGCTTCTTGGGTCTGCCATTCGCCCCTGGCAGCATCATGCTCATGCTTCAGCCTTTCAATCTCATCTGAAATAGTGATTGAAACACCTCACCAGCCGATACACTTATCCGAAACAGTCAGTTGACATGTCTAGCCTTTTTTTCCGATGCACTGAAATCCTATTAGGGAAATGCTACCACAAGATAGCATACCACGAACAGCTATTTTAGCACGACATTGTGTGATACTCGATTCTGATTGGCTGATAGCTCATCAAACCGTACTTAAATGGCAGTTTATTAAAGGACCGATTCACCGCGTATTAATGCAATGAACTCGTTGACCCTTTTGTTCGTAAACAAACATGTCGGACATCGGCGATTTCTACCTAGGCAGCATCTTTGATGTTTTTGAAGTAAAATGCGAATGGTTTGAAGAAGAATGTTTTTACCCTAATCAGTGAAGAAACTACAAAGCTGGAAGATTCGTCAACAGCTAACGCGTTCGGTATTTAAATTACATTTAGCGGTCTTAAATCAACGATAAAGGACCACAAAATTGAAAACAGAGTAGCTTTATCTTCTAATACTGACATATAATGCACTGAAACAAAAGTGAAGACTATATTCCTTTTGCGTGTCTGAGCCACAAATGGTTCGCAGAGTCAGCGATCTAACCCACTGAGCCATAGAGGCTTCCACTAACACGGAAGTTCGACAGCTGGTTGTGTAGATCAACTTCTTTGTGAACTTCTCTACTAGGTGTTGTAGACAGGGGGGTATAGACCTAAAATGACGTCATCATCGAACACCTGGCTGACCTCATTTCACAGGGGTGTCAATGACCGTGGGATCCGTGGGAAACACATCACAGCATCACACCATGACATCACGCTACTATTTTGGACCAATCAGCAACTATTAAATTCAATCCGGTGTGACTCACGCTGACTGAGGGGTCAATGACCGCGCGCCCCGTGGGAAACACATCATAGCATCACACCATGACATCACGCCATTAGTTTGGACGAATCAGCATTCAGCAAACTCACTCCGGTGTGACTCACGCTGACTGAGGGGTCAATGACCGCGCACCCCGTGGGAAAGCATCACACCATGACATCACGCCAGCATCATCAGCATTGCAAACTCACTCCGGTGTGACATCAGGGGTCGCCATTAATTTGCACCAATAAGCGCATAGCACCTACGGAACTCACTTGACCACTGACCACAAACTAGTTTCATCCGGTTTCAGTTTTAACTATAAAACCCCTTAATTCAACATCATTCATCACTTGTCGACTGCACTTTGAGGTGACTTCACGACCAACGAAACCATTTGAGCTCTTGAGTGTCTTCAACAAGTTCAACAAACGAAAAAGGTATGTTTATAAACTTAATATCTACACTAGATGTTAAAAACAGTAAACCTTGGTTGAAGCGTGGAGATAAACCATATGTCATGTTGTCGTTCACAGTAGGATCCCTTGAGTATGCCTCGGTGTAATGATATATTACACGTATTGTGGATGCATCATGTGTACAATAAAGTTTTCATGTGTCATCCAATCTAAACTTTTTTGGTGGAAAAATCGTGCTAACATACCTTTCATAGTCCATGAATAAAACGGCATACTGTAAAACATGGAGTGGAGTCTTGGAGTGGGGTCTTGGAGTGGAGTCTCGGAATGGAGTCTTAATGTAAATATTTAGCTGACCGAGTTTGTTTTGTTTTGATCATAAGGGAAGCTATACAAGCACATTCATTTCACATCTGTAGCTGGTTGGTGTTATCAGTTTTATCAGAAGAGGCATTTTGTATACACGTATCAATTAGCCCTGTCAACTCCAGAAATGTCATTCTGTAACAGTACCACGCTGCCATCAAGAAGAAAAATGTATATGAATAGATGGAAGGATGGATGAATGGATGGATGGAGAAGCATGTAAATTATTTACAACCTGTAAACAAAATATTAATAATGGCATTATGTATTAGCCAAAAAACGACATATATAACATTGTCACTTGTAAATTCAAATTTGTGTAGAGGAAGCGGTAGTCAGGGAAAAGGTACATACATTAGGTCTATGCTAAGACATACTAATCATCAGGGAATATAACAGTTATTATTGCATGAATTATTTATTTCTTACTTAACAAAGAAATTGATTACATAAGATACATATCACTATATTATTCAAGAACTGGATTTATTGTCAGTGATGGCAAAAGTAACTGTTCCTAAATCATAATTGTTTTGATTTTTGTTCAGAAATAGCCATCTCTCTACATCCTTGAACATACAAACAAAAAGCAAAAATACATGCAGCAGAATATTTTGCAAGCTGATTGTTAGTGAGTTTCATCAGCTCTCTATGGCTTCGAAAATCTTGACTTTCTGTCAGGTTATGTATGGGCAGTCCACTGGAATGTGACAGATTAGAGGAAACACATCACTGATACAATCTGCCCTCAGAATGTCAGAGAGCTAAAGGAATGCTGCTGAGGATTGCCTTTTAATAAAAAATTTACAATCTCGATTACGTTGCTGTCTACAAATGAAAGTATAATTGCACAGAGTTCGAATTTGTGACGATTTATTAATAAGTTTGGAGTAAACTGACAAGCATTAACAAACATTTCTACGAGAGCTGTAAAAAAGAAAGACTAATCTCTAAGATGAGTAAAATAAGATATTTACTTTTGAAACCGGTGATTCCGGAGGTATAAACGACAACTGGGAAGAACCATTAATGGCATATTCTAGACAGTAATCAGTGTTTACAGAAGTGACAAGTACACTTATACTCCATACTCCAGACTCCAGACTCCACTCCAAGGCTCCACTCCAAGACTCCACTCCATATTTTACAGTATGCCGAATAAAACACATAATGATATCCGATGGTAGTGAAAAAATCCCATATGTTTGTGATTGTTTGAAATCAACCATCAGTTCGTATAAGAGTTCAATGTCACAAAACACATAGCTATTCCCCACACGTCCCTGACACTACCCATGCAAATGGAATTTCAGTCTGTTTAGGGTAGACTTGCACAAGTCTCTAAGCTAATAATGAGTCCTTTAAACGATCATTTCTATTTAAAAATAGAAATATATTCCTCTAATAGACTGGGGTAGACTGTCTGCGCTTATCTTGACTAGTTTATTTAAAGGATAGAATTACTATACAGCAACGGGTTTAACCTTTAGCATCGCTTTGGAGCAAAGCTAGTGGCGGTCTCCCGCTTACTGCTCCCAGCCGTTAAAACATTGTTGACCCACATTGCGTGTGTGGCACTATACTGTGGCGGGGGGCAGGGGAAAGCGTTTGTCGACTGTTAGCCTGGCAACATTTCTCGCGCGTGATCGAGTGTGTTTTCGCGAGTGTCAACAACCTGATATGATGGAATTGTGATCGAATTACTCCCTATTCTCAAATTAAAATAGTATGATTTTGCATTGAATGAATGCATCATGATAACACAGTACTTGATGTATTTTAAAACATACAAACACAACGTTATATGCTCGTTAGAATCAACAGTAGCTAGGGCGTGTCAGCTTTGAAATGTGCGTTCTCGTCATTGGGTTTGTACATCATATTTAGGAATGCAACTTTCAACTTTCTAAAATTCATATATATTTATATAGCACTATCGTCCATCCCGCATGCATGCTCAAAGCGCTTGTAACTTTTGTCCTTGGATGTCAATCACAGCCATATTACCATTCTCAACTCCCCGGGGAGAATCTTGGTTGTGGTGGTGATGGTGGTGGTCGTGGTGGTGGTGGTGGTGTTGGTGGTGGTGGTAGTGGTGTGGTGGTGGTGGTGGTGGTAGAGCTGTGGTGGTGGTGGTGGTGGTGGTGGTGGTGGTGCTGGTGGTGGTGGTGGTGGAGCTCGTGGTGTGGTGGAGCTTGTCGTGTGAGTGGGGTGGTAGTGGCTGTGGTGGTGGTGGTGGTGGTGGTGCTCGTGGTGGTGGTGGTGGTGGTGGTGGTGGTGCTCGTGGTGGTGGAGCTCGTGGTGGTGGGTGGTGGTGGTGGTGGTGGTGGTGGTGGTGGCTGCATTGCTCGTCTGTGTTGATTCCTGAGATGTCTAAGCATGGCATCCCTTCTGGAAAACGTCTGATAGCACACGGGACACTTTGCTGACTGCATTGTGGTCCAAATCTTAATGGCAAAGAACCTGTCTACTAGCTGCTTTTATCTAAAAAAACTCGTCTTCCGTTTCTTTGTGCGACTCTGGGAGGAAGTCATTTTTTTGGCTTCAGTTTCCCCGTTCTCCTGCATCTGAATACATGCTTTAGCCTATTGAACGACTTGTTGGGTTGGAGACGTGAGTGCAAAAGTCTCTTTAGAATGGGGTAGGTCTATCTTTACCCCTTGTTTCTCATAATAGATCACATAATCATCCACGTTATTAAAGGGATTGGGGTATCCTTTAGCCTGCAAATAGTAATATTTGGTCCATTTCTTAGGATCGTCCAAATAGGGTCTCCAGTATCTTCTGTTCATTTTCTTGTTCAGAATGAATACTGACTCTCACACAGAGGTTTCAGATGAAGTGTCACTATCACGGGTCCCGTGATAAATGAAGCTAAATCACCGTTTCTGTCCTTTATATAGATGTCTGCTAGCCCTAATTCTAACTCCTAAAAACATGTTGTTAGCAGAGCGTGGTTTCGATCCACGGTCCTCTGGGTTATGAGCCCAGTGCGCTTCCACTGTGCCACTCTACTCTCCCTTCACCTACCTTTTGTTAGGACTTTTATACACCACATCAACCAATGACAACCAAAATTGATTTATTCTCAAATAGTCACAAATACACACAGTATTGTACAATGAACATCACACTCTTACACATGTAAATCTACATGACTACCCCAACGGACCACCTCTTTCTGAGGTACTCCTACCAGGACCAAATACGGACAGTTTGGAGACCATTTTTTTCATGTTCGACCCAAGGATCATCCTCTACGTCCCAGTTCTTGAGAACAACACCACATTGAACACACTTGCAAGCGTCCCCTCTGATTAAGTACACAAATCCTGCCTGGGCCATCTGACTAGGGCTCTGTTTCATCTGCACAGGCCAAGACTGAAAGGAATTCAGCCGTTCTTGGAACTGTGTTCGAGGTCTGAGAGGGATACTGTCCATACATAGGTACCCACCTAGATCATCATGACCATGAGGATACTCTGTCCTGTCTGTCTCTAGTCCCAGCAATGTCATGGCTTGTATCTCTCCGCATTCCTCCAAAGTTTTACAGAAGAGGGTGTAAGCTCGGGGTCCTCGACGGGGAAGGGTATCTAATAAAGCTCTGACCCGGTCAAAGGAGGTTTGTGGTTTTCGATAATCTCTGCCTTCATGAAGATGGTAAGGACTTTAAACTGCATCAGTTTGTCCACCACCTCTTCTACGTGCTTTATAGCTTGCACTAGACCGGAGTGATTCTTCCTCAGGATATGACGGTGAACGGCTTCCATCTTCAAGATAAACAGCCAACAGAGAGAGAGAGAGTTGTATAGCTGGATGTCGTCTGTGTAGTCAGGGATGAAGTGATGCATGATCCGAAATGAAGGGGTTTATATATTTTCATTCCCAAACCGGATTAAACCAGTTGATCTATCCGTATGCCATGATGTCATTCTCTTTCGGTTGCTATGCACCTGATCTAAAAATACCTCTGGGAAAAGTTGTTTATCCCAAGGTCAGCTCAGTACAAGGTCATTGACACCCCTGTGAAATGAGGTCAGCCAGGTGTTCGATGATGACGTCATTTGGGACCTATTTCAACTTAACAGGGATCGAAATAGAGCTGACTTGGCACATTCAGCATTGAAATAACACAGATGAAATATTTTCAATACGCCTGGCGGCACGATTAAAATTATTAAAAATAATTGACACTTTGATTCATTTGATGGAAAATATGACCGACTTAAATGGCTCTAAAGCTATTTTTGCACCCCATCAAACTGTATATCTCTGGCATTCTTAATCTAACAGCTTAACATGGGCGTAGCCATTTTGAATGCCAGTGAGCATAACAGGGAGGCCGGTTTTAGATGATACCATAGTTTGTGGGTTAGTTTTAGTGGGACAAATGAAGCTGAACTAGTCTTGCAGTCATGATAGTTTTAAGAAAATCCTGCTCTCAAGTTTGCAGGTTAGACAAACGCATATTAGTCTCTGAATATATATAATGTTGATACATTGTAGTAGCAAGTAATCCCGTTTACATAGAAAAGGAGCATCAGTGAAATGGGAGATCCAGAACCTGAGGTAATCTAGCCTCATTAACGTTTTTAGCATTGCGGAAAGGGCTGGGCAGAAGGGAAATTATTGTGGTTTGGGGACTGTGAGTCAAACCCTAGTTTACAGCTTTACACGATGTTCATTGATTCGTTTGGACATGCTAATTTTCTCAAAGGCGCAACTAAATTATCTGCCTGGTGCCCTATGGCACCCATAACAAAATTTGTATTTCTATTCCTGTATATACTACTGGATTAAAGAAACTGCATTGTTTGATGTTATGTCTTGTTTTTAATGCAAAAAGATAATAACCTGATTTGTTGTGTTTTACTTAATCATTCTGTAACTGTTGACAGGACACTATCGAAATCTGTATGATTTGACACTAGGCACTGTAACACGCGTACGCTCTTGAAAAGATGTGGTGTCAAAAGTCAGTTCACAAATTCACTATCTTGTGTGTCAACCATTGGCTTTGATGCAGGCTTGACAACGACGACACACAGACGACACTAAGGGATTTAAGAAAGTTTGGAGAATGTTTATCCATATCTGAAGCAACGCTTGTCCCAATTCAGCTAACGTCAATGGCTGATTCTGGGCTTGACGTTCAACCCAAGCGTGTTCGATAGGGGACAGGTCCGGAGAAACAGCTGGCCAGGGGAGTACCGGAATGTTCTGCTGTCTCAGGAAATCTAGATGGGCATTATCTTGCTGAAGGTACGACTCTGTTCTTGAATGAACGACTGCACAGAAGGCCCAAAGATCCCATCCCTGTATCGCAGACCTGTCACATTGCCACTGATAATGACAAGTTGTGTCAGGCCATGAGATGAGATGGCTCTCCATACCATAACGCTATCACCACCAAACAGTAGACGATGAACAACACATGCGTCCGCATACCGTCCACCTTACCGTCTGTACACCCTTGCCCTGCCATCTGAGCTGTCCACCTGAAATCTCGACTCGTCAGTGAACAAAACACCATCAGCTAAACTGGCAGTCTGGAATCGATTCCATAGATGGGTCATTTGAATGTGGTTGTCTTGCTGACGTGACGTCACGCGTGGATGGCCGGTCCGAGGCAAATCTCCCGTGTTCCCATTATGTTGAAAACGTCTCCATAGAGATGAGATCATGTTTCGAAGGACACCAAAATGTCTGGCCACTTCATTTTGGGCCATTCCAATCACCAGCATTCTCATGGCGCGGAGAAGGAGATGTACGCGCAGTTTGGGTTGAAATTAATGTATTTTCCACAACATTCAGAGGTTAGAGAATGATCAACCTTCTTCAGTTTTCAATATCAGGTGTGTGAACTTCAGGTGTCAAAAAGCATGCAAAAAGCGAGTAAGTGCGCGTGCCACTCGCGATACGTGATATCAAATGTCATGCAAAGTGCTTTGCTCCATGTTTATTAAGCCTATTTTTATATATTTTCAAATAAATTTTATTTTGTGCAATTTTATGTTACGCAGTTACTTTTTTCCGTTAGTATATTGTTTTAATGGAGCATGAATGATTTAGCGCCATGAGCAACCACTTGGTGATTGGATATAGGGCGCTATACAAATGTACTTATTATTATTATTAAGAATATAGTGAAGCTTGAGTTACACGTTACTTGAGTATAAGTTGAACATATTTACACATTTACATTTACAAAGGACAATATATCTTCTAAAACTATGAATTAATCTAATGTACAATATGGAACAAGTTTTTATGGATAACAACTTCTATATTTCGTGAGTGCTCCAACTCCAAGTTGGAGCACTCACACTCACATAAAATAAATGTTATACCTTAATCTAATGTACTCAAACAAGTAATCTAATGTACTTTATTTCACTGCATTATGTTGTCGCCATGTGTAGTGTTCTTACTCTGGGAGGGGCGGTGGGGTAGCCTAGTGGTTATAGCGTTCGCCGAAGACGCCGGGTTCGATTTCCAACATGGGTACAATGTGTGAAGCTCATTTATGATATTCTCATATTGCTGGACTATTGTTAAAAGCGGCGTGAAACCTTACCCACTCACTCACTACTACTCTGGGTTGACTTGTCTCCATGGGTCTACTAATCCAGCTTGTTTAATATAGTTCTGTAATAACAATGGATTGACCCTATGTTTATAATTATATGTATCTTTGCTATAATCTTTAACAACATTCCAATCTCCTGTTACTAGGATTGCTCCGGGTAATTGTATTAATATATTTTATAAGTCACGAAAAAAGTCAGAGGAACCGGTCTTTGGCCCATACGGATTTTGTTGTTCAAAATTGTACAGATATACCATACGTTTACTGACACCTGATATACACACATATAATATACAAAAAAATGATTACAGGATTAGACTTGCCATTATACGTGCAGTTTGCTAAAGGAAATAGACAAGCAATAGCAATATGATTTTCAGTATCTGGATCATTTATGGTCGGACCAACTGCGAATTTTAGATGAGAGAGTGAGTGAGTATGGTTTTACGCCGCTTTTAGCAATATTCCAGCAATATAACGGCGGGGACACCAATAAATGGGCTTCACACATTTTACCCATGTGGGGAATCGAACCGGGTCTTTAGCGTGACGATCGAACGCTTTAACCACTTGGCTACCCCACCATCTCAAATTTTAGATGAAACTTCCAGAAATGAATATACTTCTCCATTTTCTCGTTCAGTATAACAACAAACTCATGAAACAATTACAAGTGTTTCAGAAGCTACTTTAACATTGATTTTTAAGGTGAAGATTTACCACGAAGACTGTTCCGATCCGCCATATGTTCACGAGTGATGATGTTAAGTTGGGTCCTGAGCTCCTCTGTCTGAGCGCAGATCACACCTGTTGGCAAACAAATACCGTCATCATTGCAGACAGACAAATAATGTATTCGAGCCTCACCTCTTTACAAACATTTTACCAGGGCCTAGATTTCCGAAACTCTTTGGCGCTAAGATAGTCGTAAGTGCCACACATTAACATTAACTTACGACTATCTTAGCGCTAAGAGAGCTTCGAAAATCTAGGCCCTAGGTAATAAACTCTTCAAACAATCTGATAAAGTAACCACCCACTACATGACCCACTAAAAATCAAGTCTACACTTTCACATGTATATGTACAAATTGTATATGACTGTACATGTTAATTTATTAAACTGATTACTCTGCAATACTGCATGGTATAATACATCCGATCGGGCTATTAAACTATTGAAATGGCAGGCCTTGGACGTGATAGAAATTAATTCTCAACTCAGTGGAATCAAAACGTTTCTAAATCACTAAAAATAGTTAATTATGGACATATTCATGACCGGCATTTGGAAACTGTAACATGTAACTTTGATCTTACTGCTGATCATGCAGTAAAACATTACTTTCATCTTCTGTTTCATCCCTTAAAACGGACAGGGTGCCCCTCCAAGAGATGTTTTGGGGAAGCGTTCGATCACATAGTGTAGCATATCTGGCTTACAACACATAGTGCAGCATATCTACCCGACAACAGATAGTGTAGTACATCTACCCGACAACTCAGAGTGTAGCATATCTACCTCTCAACACATAGTTTAGTACATATACCTGACAATACGTATTGCAGTGTATCGAACTGACAAGACGAAATAAACTTGGAAAATGCTTGACACAGAAAAGCAGTGAAGGTGTGTATCTGCCGTTTTCGTGGCAGAACATACCAGCATGTCATTACGTACCTCGAAGTTTGGTTTTCAACTGCCGCTCGTATATCAGTCGGAGAGCGTGTCGCCAAAACAGTAGAGCTGAAACAATTGGTAGATCTAAGAATTGCATTATGTGAATGTCGCCACAAACTGTTTCTCTTTGGTGTTCCGAGCAGGAACAAAGAGTAATCATGGTATAAATATGGCCCTAACATACTTGCGCACTAACACAACAACTCAAATCCTTATTACGCTCTAACAAACGTAGATGTCACTGCTGATCACCATATCATCTAAAGCCACCACACTGTCACCACTCCACCAACACCACTTCACTTCCACCACTCCACCAACACCACTTCACTGCCACCACTCCACCAACACCACTCCACCAACACTCCACTTCCACCACTCCACCCACTCCACCAACACCACCACTGCCACCACTCCACCAACACCACTTTCACTTCCACCACTTCACACCACTCCACACCTCTCCACCAACACCACTGCCACTGCCACCTCTCCACCAACACCCACTTCACTTCCACCACTCCACTCCACCAACACCACTTCACTTCCCACCTCTCCACCAACACCACTTCACACCACTCCCACCACCTCCACCAACACCACTCCACCAACACCACTTCTCCACCTCCACCACACACCACTTCACTCCAAGCTCATTTCACTATCACCCACTTCACTTCCACCACTCCACCAACACCACTTCACATCCACCTCTCCACCAACACCACTTCACTTCCACCACTCCACCAACACCACTTCACTCCCACCACTCCACCAACACCACTTCACTTCCACCACTCCACCAACACCACCACTCCACCACTGACCACCACTTCACACTCACTTCACATCCACCTCTCCACCAACACCACTTCTCCACCAACACCACCACTCACCACTTCATTGCCACCTTCTCCACCAACTCATTTCACCCACCACCACTCTCACCACTCCACCAACACCACTTCACTCCACCAACACCACTTCACTTCTCTCACCACTCCAGCTCATTTCACTCCCACCACTCCACCAACACCCTTCACTTCACTCCATCCACCACATCCACCTCTCCACCCACTTCACACCTCCACCTCTCCACCAACACCACTTCACTCCCACCACTCCACCAACACCACTTCACTCCACCACTTCTTCCACTCCACCACCAACACCACTTCACTCCCACCTCTCCTCCACCACTCCACCTCCTTCTTCCATCCACCTCTCCACCACTCCCACCACACTTCACTCCACCACTCCCCACCACTCCACTTCACTCCCACCTCCTCCACCACTCCACTTCACTCCCACCTCTCCGTCAACACCACTTCACTCCCACTCTCCACAACAATCCACCACTCCACCACCACTTCACACCAACCTCTCCATCAACACCACTCCACCAACACCACTTCACTTCCACCACTCCACCACCAACACCACTTCACTCCCACCACTCCACCAACACCACTTCACTCCCACCGATCCACCAACACCACTTCACTTCCACCTCTCCACCAACACCCCTTCACTCCCACCTCTCCACCAACACCACTTCACCAACACCACTTTACTTCCACCTCTCCACCAACACCGCTTCACTCCCACCTCTCCATCAACACCACTTCACTCCCACCACTCCACTTCACTTCCACCACTCCACCAACACCACTTTACTAACACCACTCCACCAACACCGCTTCACTGCCACCACTCCACCAACACAACACTGCCAACACTCCGGCAGTACAAATAAACGGCCCCTGCTCCACCAACACCACTCCACCACCACCACTACAACTGCACCACCACGCTATCACCACTCCTCAGACACCACCACACTGCCATCACTTCACCATCCCTATACCAGCGCCATCCGACCATTACACCAGCAACACAGTTTCACTTCAAAATGTTTTTACAATCCTCTAATGGTTCCCGATCAAGTTAACCGTACAACCTTGTGTTTCATAGACAGACCTTTCAACTTACCTTTCTCTCTATGTAATTCTTGTATGTGTCCGTTTGCCGCTTCTACAAATGATAACAGACAGTCAGCTGAATTAGTTTGTTGTTTACACAGCAGCAAGCCCTAAACCACTCTGCCGTCTAAAATATACACTTACAAATTGGTCATATCATCAAATAACAAACGCCATCAAAACTTTAACTCGGTCTGGCTTACAATAGTCACCGAAAAAGTGCATGCCTAAGGACCACTTCGACGTCCGTCTCGAATACATTACCAACGATTAACCATTTCTTGTTTCATTCATTGTTAGTAGTTGCAGATATTCCTATTATATAAGTCCGAAACATTTCAACTTTTCTCACAGCCAGAAGTCAAATTTTGACTTGGAAAAACAGTTTCTGAAAGCATGAACAGTTATCAACGCTGCCATTGTACGATTACAGTTTAGGACACTTATCCATCCTTTAGAACAATGTGTACCAAAATGTACATGTTGACAAGTGATACTTCAATGTTCCAACAATTAGTTCAACAATACCGTTTGCCGTTCGTAATTCGTCTGCTTCTTTCTCAGCTTGTTCTGCAACAGACAACCAGTTGTGACACACAGTTCAAAGCATATTCCGAAAACCATTAACCGTGTTTATTGTCTCAAGAGAGCGTTCGTGGAAATTTGAAAGACGAAATAATGCAATTTCTTACCTCTCTTTACACCCTCCCTTTTCCACGTTAAATTGCACTCAGTCAATCACTGTTGCTTGTTTCCAACATAATTCATCACGTTCTTCCAGCTTTGTCTTTGTTTCCTGTAGATCCTTGACCTTTGTCTTCAGGTTGTTGTCAGTTTCAGTCAAAGTGTTTTTTGGACTGGAGTTCAGCCTTCGTTTTGCTCAGTTCTTCGTTTTTATCGCTTAATTGTTTCTTAAGTGTTTCTAACTCGTCAGTTTTTTCTTTCAAAGAATTTTTCGTGGATTGGTGAGCAGACCCGGTATCATGTAGTTGTTTCGTACGTTGTTCCAGCTTTGTCTTTGTTTCCTGTAGATCTTCGACCTTTGTCTTCAGGCTGTTATCAGATTCAGTCAAAGTGTATTTTGTTGACTGGAGTTCAGCCTTCGTATTGCTCAGTTCTTCGTTTTTATCGCTTAATTGTTTTTTAAGTGTTACTAACACGTCAGTTTCCTTTTTCAAAGATTTTTTCGTGGAATCGAGTGAAGACCGAGTAACATGTAGTTGTTTCGTACGTTGTTCCAGCTCTTTATTTGTTTCCTGTAGAGCCTCGATCTTTGTCTTCAGTTTGTTCTCAGTTTCAGTCAAAGTTTCTTTTGTGGACTGGAGTTCATCCCTCGTTTTGCTCAGTTCTTCGTTTTCATCTCTTAATTGTTTCTTCAGTGTTTCTAGCTCGCCAGTTTTCTTTTTCAAAGATTTTTGCGTGGATTGTAGTTGTTTCGTAAGTTGTTGCGGCTTCTTCTCTGTTTCCTGCGACTCATCGCCTTTATCTGTTTCTGATTGTTTTCCAGATTTGGTATCAGACTGGGTATCCATTTCCTTTCCTGCAGAGTCTTTTTCAGTTGGCTCCTTTTCAACTGACTCTGACTCATGTTCGGGCCTATTTTCACGTGTCTCCTGTGCTGGTGGATGTAGATGGTCACCGTTTGTTGACTCGGCTTCAGGATCTTTGTCGGGGGATTCTAGTAACGGAAAGCTTATACTGAACTTCATATCACATAACACTTGGAATTTACACATCCGATATCTGCAAAATTGTGTACAAAATATGAAACTGTGTGCCCTTGTCATAATCACCACTAGCAAGTCAATTACACTTGAGACCCGTGAAGGTCCGGGTTGGAATATTGATCTCAGTAACCCATGCTTGTCGTAAGAGGCGACTAACGGGATCGGGTGGTCAGGCTCGCTGACTTGGTTGACAGATGTCATCGGTTCCCACCTTGAGCAGATCGATGCTCATGTTGTTGATCACTGGACTGTCTGGTCCAGACCGCCGCCATATAGACCGCCGCCATATAGCTGGAATAATTCTGAGTGCGGCGTAAAACCCAACTCACTCACTCACTCACATACATACACTTGAAGTATTTAAGTGCCAGTTGAGTCCATGTCCATAGGTGAGTGTGCTAGTATAGTCTTATAGTTGTTGCATCACGTCGGGGAACACCAGAAATGGTTGCAAACCTCACACATCGTGGTTAAATGTGCGAACGCTTTAACCTCTGGGCTATTCCAGGCGTATATACACCTAGCAACGCCGCAGCCATTCTCCCTCCATAACTCCGGTAAATCAATCACTTATTGATAGGGCGATCCGACCTGTCATGCTTGAGGTACTATTGTACACCACGCCCTCTATCTAGAACATGTGTTACTGCATACTGTGCAGTCGACACTAGGTCACGATGACCTGCTGATAAACACTCGGCTCTGAGTTTTGTGTACACAATAGAACACCTTTGTGCCCCAAAGGTCTATTTATCTGAGTCATGTGGGACTGATCTACCAGGAAATACAATCTATCAGTCACATATGTCACGCTTAAATAAGTAGTCAATGGTTTTCTAAGAAGGCGGTTCGTCTTGCCTGTGCTCCAGATCTACACCATATAGGGCACTGCGTTCACGTTATGTACACACGTGACAAACAAACCCCATCACCCCCCCATTATCAATATTTCAGCACAACAATGTGACGACACTGCTATTTTGCTATTTCCGCATGTGCATGCAGCTGCTCTACACCCGATGTGAGACCCGCTTTTCATTCAGTCAGTTTCAAGCAATGAACACACACCATTTACGGTGTATACACTCGGCCACGCTGCACGGCAGACAGGACGACAGTGTTCCGCCTCAACACGCGAGTCAAAACTTATCACGCGCGTGAGGGTTTTCTCGTAAATAAGTTATTAGGTGAGACTACTGTTTGTGCTAAGTTTTTCTAACGTTTATACAAGTTTAGTTGATGTACACAGGCACGTCATCTATTTATATACATCCACCTACCTTCAGCGGACATCTCGACGACCCTACTGCAAAGCGAAAGTACCAAGGTCCTCTGTTCTCGGAAGTGTGGCACACGTGACGCCGGGATACTAAGAATCAATTGAATAACGAGTACTGATTAAGGTATACGTTTATTATTATCTGTTGTTATTGTTCATAAGTTGTTTGTGTTTATCTGTTGTTATTGTTCATAAGTTGTTTGTGTTTATCTGTTGTTATTGTTCATACGTTGCTTGTGTTTATCTGTTGTTATTGTTCATAAATTGTGTTTATTATACAATTATAGACTCTTGTAGAGGTCGATATCGGTTTTTATTGACCTGAGTAAAACAATATCGACCGAGCTTGCGAGGTCGATATTGTTTTTCTCAGGTCAATAAAAACCGATATCGACCTCTACAAGAGTCTATAATTGTTTTATTATATAATGAAAGAGAAACGGGTTTTAACATAAACTTTTAATGCACACACTGTGCCATCTATCCGAGTGATCTGATTGGCTGAAAAGCGGGGGAAGCCCCTTCGTACGGGATTCCTTGTCTATTTTTAGTAACCCAAGTCAATATCGTAATTTATCAGAAAACTCAAGTCAATATCGTGTTTTGTAGTCAATCATGTGACGGTCTTTTGACCAATCGTGGTACAGGAAAAATACTACCCATATAATAACTGTTCTTATTGTTCATAAGTTGTGTTTATCTGTTCTTATTGTTCATAAGTTGTGTTTATCTGTTCTTATTATTCATTCATTGCTTGTGTTTATCTGTTCTTATTGTTCATACGTTCTGTTTATCTGTTGTTATTGTTCATAAGTTCTATTTATCTGTTGTTATTGTTCATACGTTGCTTGTGTTTATCTGTTGTTATTGTTCATAAGTTGTGTTTATCTGTTGTTATTGTTCATAAGTTCTGTGCTTGTTCTTATTATCATGTTGTTGTGTTTATCTGTTGTTATTGTTCATAAATTGTGTTTATCTTTTCTTATTGTTCATAAGTTGTGTTTATCTGTTGATATTGTTCATAAATTGTTTTTATCTGTTGTTATTGTTCATAAGTTCTGTTTATCTGTTCTTATTGTTCATATGTTGCTTGTGTTTATCTGTTCTTATTGTTCATAAATTGTGTTTATCTGTTGTTATTGTTCATAAGTTCTGTTTTATTGTTGTTATTGTTCATAAGTTGTGTTTATATGTTGATATTGTTCATAAATTGTGTTTATCTGTTGTTATTGTTCATAAAGTGCTGTCTGTATCTGTTGTTATTGTATCTGTTGTTATGTTTATGTTGTTTGTGTTTATCTAGTTTTATTGTTTATAGATTGTTTTTATCCGTTCTTATTGTTTTAAATTTGCTATTTCCGCATGTGCATGCAGCTGCTCTACACCCGATATGAGACCCGCTTTCCATTCAGTCGATTTCAAGCAATGAACACATAAGTTGTGTTTATCTGTTGTTATTGTTCATACGTTGGTTGTGTTTATCTGTTCTTTTTGTTCAAAAATTCTGTTTATCTGTTGTTATTGTTCATACGTTGGTTGTGTTTATCTGTTCTTTTTGTTCAAAAATTATGTTTATCTGTTGTTATTGTTCATAAATTGTGTTTATCCGTTGTCATTGTTCATACGATGCTTGTGTTTATCCGTTGTCATTGTTCATACGATGCTTGTGTTTATCTTTTCTTATTGTTCATAAGTTTCTTGTGTTTATCTGTTGTTATTGTTCACTCCAGCTCATGCACCCCACCTCACACCCTACATCCCCTCTCACACTCTACAACCCGCCTCACACCAAACTTACACCCAGTCTCTCTTCCCCTCTCACACTCTACAACTCGCCTCACACCACACTTACACCAAATATCCTATCCCCTCTCACACTTTATTCCTCCCACCGAGCCTCACACCACACTTACACCAAATCTCTCATCGCCTCTCACACTCTATTCCTCACACCAAGCCTCACACCACACTTACACCAAATCTCTCATCGCCTCTCACACTCTATTCCTCACACCAAGCCTCACACCACACTTACACCAAATCTCTCATCGCCTCTCACACTCTATTCCTCACACCACACCACACTTACACCCAATCGCTCATCGCCTCTCACACATTCCTCACACCAAGCCTCACACCACACTTACACCCAATCGCTCATCGCCTCTCACACTCTATTCCTCACACCAAGCCTCACACCACACTTACACCCAATCTCTCATCGCCTCTCACGCTCTATTCCTCACGCCCCGTCTCGATGTTACCACCGCGCCTCACAACCCGTCTCACACCCCGTCTCACTGTTAACACCCTCTTTCACACCCCGTCTCACTGTTAACAACCCGTCTCACACGTCGTCTCACTGTTAATACCCCATCTCACACCCCGTCGCTCTGTTAACACCCCGTCACACTACCCGTCTCACTGTTAACACCCCGTCTCACTCCCCGTCTCACTGTTAACACCCCGTCTCACTCCCCGTCTCACTGTTAACACCCCGTCTCACTGTTAACACCCCGTCTCACTGCTAACACCCTGTCTCACTGTTAACACCCCGTCTCACTGTTAACACCCAGTCTCACTGTTAACACCCCATCTCACTGTTAACACCCTGTCTCACTGTTAACACCCCGTCTCACTGTTAACACCCCGTCTCACTGTTAACACCCCGTCTCACTCCCCGTCTCACTGTTAACACCCCGTCTCACTGTTAACACCCGTCTCACTGCTAACACCCCGTCTCACTGTTAACACCCCGTCTCACTGTTAACACCCCGTCTCACTGTTAACACCCCGTCTCACTGTTAACACCCGTCTCACTGTTAACACCCCGTCTCACTGTTAAACACCCCGTCTCACTCCCCGTCTCACTGTTAACACCCCGTCTCACTGCTAACACCCCGTCTCACTGTTAACACCCCATCTCACTGTTAACACCCCGAGTAGTATATACAATGTCGTCCTTCATCTTTTCGCATGTTTCCATGTGTGGAACATTTGTCAAGATTTTCAACACACATTAACCACCTTTCACAGAGTGAATTCTGCTAACATTATGAAAACTAAAACATTCTTCAGCTCCAAAATTAAACTGTTATTTTACGCACGTCTCACTGAGCGATTAAAGTGAATGTGTTGTTTTAATATTTCTTTGAACGGATTATCGTGAGCGAATTAATGTACATGTTGTCTTAAGCGTATGCTCTTACTTGACACTGATTGCGTTCACTCAATGTCAACTGCACCGTATACTGTTATCTTCACCTTGCGTATAATCATATAAAAGACATTATCTGAAGGACATGATTCATAATTTGTTCATCATGGATAACGTGACCGATTCTTGCGTTTACTGCTCATTGAGATGCCGCGAAAGACAACAGTGGCTATATAATAAATTAATTGAAATCTTCATGTCTATATATATATAATAAATTAATTAAAATCTTCATGTCTGTATATATATATATAATAAATTAACTGAAATCTTCATGTCTGTATATATATATAATAAATTAATTGAAATCTTCATGTCTTATATATATATATATATATATGTATATATATATAATATTACTGAAATCTTCATGTCTATATATATATATAATATATTAATTGAAATCTTCATGTCTGTATACATATATAATATAAATTAATTGAAATCTTCATGTCTGTATATATATATATATAATAAATTAATTGAAATCTTCATGTCTGTATATATATATATATAATAAACTGAAATCTTCATGTCTATATATATATAATAAATTAATTGAAATCTTCATGTCTGTATATATATGATAAATTAACTGAAATCTTCATGTCTGTCTGGTTAATTGTCTGTCTGATTATCGTTAATTAACCCAGGGGCCGGTTCGGGTGCGGGGACGGTTTGGGTTAAATATCCAGGGGCCGGTTTGGGTTAAATATCCAGGGGCCGGGTTCGGCTTGGGGCCGGTTCGGGTGTATCCCCAATGATATACAATGATTGTCCGAGTCCAACCAGAACCGCTGTAAAGCTTTATTTCATAAATAAAGCTTTTGCAAGGCCCTTAGATCTCGCCGCCATTATATATACTACTTTTGAATCCCCAGTTAACTTCCCGGTCACTATGACCGCTACAATTATAGACTCTTGTAGAGGTCGATATCGGTTTTATTGACCTGAGTAAAATAATATCGACCGAGCTTGCGAGGTCGATATTGTTTTTCTCAG